TTGTGTGTCCCCTTTAGGAAGCATTTCCCCAGGTCTTGCAGGACTGTGTAACTGAAGTGTGTACCGGTGTTCCAGCATGTTCTATTGCCTAGATGGGTCAGGGTAGGATTGTGGGGGACAGGAGGGACAGGTAGGGTCTGAAGGAGGCCCTGAGGCTAGCAATGTAGATTGCAGGACTTGCCCTGACCCTGGCCCCTGGGACTTCTTTTGTGGGACTCTGCTTGCTGGAGGAAGTTTTCCCTTCTCTGGGAAAGTGAGAGGGTGCAGCTGTCTGTCCTAGGGCAGAGTCTCCCTTTGGTGGGCTTTGTGCAGATTCTGGTATGTTTGGTACCCCCTCATTGGCCATTCCCCCTTTCCTTTTTCCAGCCTGTGCCCTGAGATGGCTCGGCAGCTGCCACCCAGCTCCCATTCCTCTCTAATCTTTTTTCTACCACCCCTTGGAAAACAGCCCGCTGTGTCTGTTCACACCTGGTGGTGCCAACTCACCTAATAGATGTGAGTGACTCACTGATCTTCCTTACCTTCCCGGAAGCTTGAACTCAAGTGACTCTCCAGGCTGGATGATTTGGAGCAGGGAGGGGGCATGCTGCAGGGAACAGCCCTATTGGTCACAAAGAGATGGATGGCTGATGAAGAGGCCCAGCCACTCCAGCCTCTCACCCCATATACCTAGGGCCTGTGAGGCCCCTTCCCCGCTTTCCCCACAGGGCCTAACATCCTAGGAGGTGAGCTGAGACCTCGCCACACTCCCTTCTCAACCCTGCTCTCTGGCTCCATGTGGGATGTGGGGTGAGTGCCCAGCAATGCTCAGGACTGCAGGGGAGCAGAGGGGCTGTTTGTCAGCAGTGCCGACTTGCCCAGGTAGCGAGGAGCATCAGCTCCGGGGTATCCAGCGGTGCTGCAGGATGTGCCTGTGTGCAGGAGCAGAGCCAGAGGCCGACAACTCCCTAAAGCCCCAGGGCCTCTTGGCAGCAAGAGGGAATGGCCAAGAGGAAAGGCGCATCTCGCAAAATGCCTGTGGACAGGTGAGCTGAGGCTGCAGGGAAGGCCGAGGGGCCTGTGAGTGATTGGGATGAAGAACCTCGTGCTCCCCCTCTGGAGTGGGAGGCAGGAGAGCATGAGTGACGGTGTCAGGCAATTAAGGAGGCCCACTGCTGCATAGGCCCTCCCCCTGCGTCTGGGCACCTGCCACAAGTGCCTAGTCCTGTGGCCAAGATGAGCTCTCAAGTGGGAGCTCATCAATGAAGTAGTGCCTACTCGCTCGCCTGGGCCCAGCACTGGCTTGTGAAATGGGCTGCAGAATCACCAGGAAGGTCAGCAGAACAGAGAGCCTCAAAAACAGAGGAGCCTCCAGAGGTGACAGTTGCCAAACAGAATACTCCTGGAAGCCACAGAGAGATGGGGCTCTGCCTCTGACGGGAGGGGTGAGGAATGTGAGGTGGCAGTTTCCATAAATGTGTAGGAGAGGCTGTGGCGAGTTCAGAGTCGGGACCTCAGGGACCCCATGTGCGTTCCCAGGCTAGAAGCCGAGTTGTGCTCCCAGCACCCTCATTCCTGGCTGGTGGTGGCCGACCTGCCCTCGCTAATCCCTCAGCAGCTGGTGGAAGCCTCCGGAAGGGCCAGAGGGGTAGATGCCCAAGAGCCTGGAAGGAGGTCACGTTTCAAAGCCATCTGTGGCCCTTCACACACCCATGTTGTTCCCTTGTCTCCCGGAACGTGTCCTCGGTAACTGTGTAACCATGGGTTCTGCGAGTATTGCTGGAGCCATTGGGATTCCCAGGCTTGCCTCTCAGGTAACATGCCTCCTGTCTCTGCTAGGTTGGAGGACTCTCCTCTTCCTACCTGAGAGGTTTCACAGCCGCCAAAGCCAGGCTTTTGCTGTGTAGCTTCAGACCCAGGGAGGAGCAGCCAGTGGACATGGTCTGTGGCCTTGATTGGAAACCATGGAGTTGGTCAAGGGGACACTGGCTGAACGCATTCCTTATCTCCCATGCAGATCTCGATCCCAGCTTCCCTTGGTTTGAAGTCTCGAGAGATAAAGAAGAATTTCCAGGACTACTATGTGACAAGTGGTTTTATGGAGACTGGGAGAGAACTTGTCCCAGTGGGTAGAGTGGGATGGCCTCCTGAGAGAAAGGGACAAGGTGGGCCAGGATGGGGATCTGTGTGCTGTCACCCAGACACCCTCTGAGTGACGTGGTGAAGTCATCTGCCAGGCAGCTGCCCCTCATCAAAGCAGGAGGATTTGCACCCCGCCTCACCCCCGCTCTGGAGCAGCCTTCTGGTGTCCTGAGTCCTGTGGCCTAGGGGGGCAATGTCGCCTCTCCTGTCCTTATCATCCTCTCATTTGCAGCCTGTCCTACTTATCACACTCTTTCCGACCCTCCTGCAGTTCCCTCTGCTGATCTAGGCTGGGGCTGGAGGGCTGGGGGAGGGGTGGATGCTGGGGATGGCTCTGGGCGCGGGCCTGGGAGCTGTCCTCCTGTGCTTTTTCTGGGAGGCCAGCCTGGTGGAAGCCTGGGATGCATTCCCTGGTGGCCCAGCCTATCCACATTCCCTGGTGGTTTGCCTTGTGTCTGTCAAGCAGCTGCTTAGAATGGCCCCTTTTGGTAGAGTCCTGTTTCTGCCCCAGGGGCCAAGCACAAGCCCACCTATGACCACTCATACCTGCTCTCTGCTTCCCCTGATTCAGTGCCAGGGCATTGAATTATGCTTTTGTTCACATAAATGACTGTGGGGCTGACAGTCAGCATGCTGTCTGTTTGTTCTACTCCTGAGTGTGGAGCCAAGTTGCCCGTGTGGCCTTGGGCTGGTGACTCCACAGTTCTGAGCCTCAGTTTTCTTGCCAGTAAAAGGGGCATACTAACCTCATGGGGTGGTCAGGCTTAAATGAGTGTGTGCCCGTAAGCAGGTTTAAACAGTGTATCCAGAATGCAGGGGATTTTATTGTGATTCAGGTATGGTGAGGCCAACAGACCAGGAGACGATTGCTCTTGAAAAGACTGTTATAGTCACCAAGAGGAAGGGACATGCCACATGGAGCCACATCGGCAGACCAGGGAAAAAGGCACAGGCTGGGCTCCACTGGGCTTTCCTTGGGAAGGACCTGGCTAGGCAGGGTAAGGAGGTTTATGAACAGCCACTTTGAATGATTTCATGGGACTCTGGGGTGAGGGAGCTGCAGCCCCAGCCTCTCCTCCCTCACAGGTTGCCGGGTGCCTGCCCCTGGGATGATTAGGACGGCCGGCCGGACAATGACCCAGTGGCCCAGTGGCCATTGGTTGGTTTGCATATGAAAGGCCTACACCAAGGCAGGTCATTTGCTGTCTCAGGGAGTTGTCTAGGCCTGAGGGGTCTGGGAGACCTCAGGTGTCATCTCATCAGAGTAAAAAGACATGCTTCATTAAGGGTACAGTTTAATTCCAACAAGAGGACTAAATGGGAAGTATTTATAATACAATGATAGGTATGTTAATTAGCTTGATTCCATTCCTCTATGCTGTGTGTGACTAATATCGCTTTGTATCCCTTAAATATATACAATCCTAATTTGTCCGTATTCAATAAAAATAAAAAGACATGCTTAAGATACCAAAACACATTTTTGGTTAAAATGACAAAAGGTATTTAGTTCTACATTCATGATGTGGGTGGTGGAGCCTCAGGAAGGTGCAGTGGGAAGAGCCCAGGCCCTAGAGGAAGAGGCCCATGCTGCTATCTCCTGCTTCCCCTATATTTAGCCTCTGCTCTGGGTCAGGGGGGACAGGAGGACACCCCTTACTTGCAGGGCTGTTTGGAGGTCTTAGTGAGAGGACCCATTGAAAGCTCACAGCTTGGTGCTTGGCCACCAGGAGCAGCTCAATGCATGAGAGTTGTTACATTTTTGTGTCCCTTATAAGGGAAAAACCCACTAGGGGCCCTTACACATTCTTGTCCTGGGGTCTTCCCTCTGGTAATCTGTTTTAAAGGAAAACATTTTCAACCTAAGGGACATCAGCCCCAGAAGTGAATGTAAGATCCAGAGCCAGGTGGTGCATTTGACAGCGTGCCTCAAAGGAGCCGGCTTCCAGAGACTCACTGGTCGTGTCTTCCCCTTTCCTCCCTGGGTCTCTGTTAATCTCTCCCTTCCAGAGGATTCCCTTGGGATGGAGGGATTTGGGTTTGCTTAGAGTTGTGTCCCCTTCTGTAGGAGACAGGGAAATGAGATCTTAGTAGTGCACCATTCTGGCCTGAAACACTTTCCAGAGCAGGTGTATAGAAGAGCCCTTATTCCCAGGCCCAACCACCTCAAGGAAGCTGCTCCAAGTCCAAATGGGCAGGCCTGAGAGGTAACCCCTCTTTCTCATGCCTTCATAAGGCACATACCCCAGGCCTCATGCCACTCAGCCCTCCTGTCCTTTTGCTTGGGACTGAGGGTATGGTGAGAGTTCACAAAGGAGAACAGAAAAGGAGCTCCCAGTCAGTGGGAGAGACCAGCATCCTCAGGTCTCCAGGTAAAGGGCTCTGTGCCCTACCTACCAGCCATCTGGAGCCCCCAGGACTCTTGATGGCCAGTCTTCTTAAGCCCTGAGGGGCCCCAGCTGGGTTCTGGCTGCAGCCCCAGCCTCTCCTTCCTCACAGAGGTCTGCCTTAGTCCTGTTCAGGCTGCTGGAACAGAATACCAGACCAAGTAGCTTGTAAACAACAGAAATTTAGTTCTCACCATTCTGGAGGTTGGAAGTCCAAGGTCAGGGGGCCAGCATGAGGGAGTTCTGGTGAGGGCCTTCTTCTGGATTTCAGATGGCCATTCCAGCCTATGCACACGTGGAGAGAGCAGAGTAAGGAAGCAAGCTCTCTTCTCTCTCATGAGGGCCCTAATCCCATTCACAAGGGCTCCACCATCATGCCCCGATCACCTCCCACCTCCAGCACCTTCACATTGGGCACAAGATGACATAGGAATGTCAGGGGACACGAACATTCGGACCACAGCAGGGTCTCCTCCTCCACTGTCTCCCCAGCATCCTGTTTGCTGACATCGAGGGCTTCACCAGCCTGGCCTCCCAGTGCACTGCCCAGGAACTGGTCATGACCCTCAACGAGCTCTTCGCCCGCTTTGACAAGCTGGCTGCGGTGAGTCACTCTGGGCCTGGGCCAGAGGGTGGCCTGGTCTGGGCAGTCGAGGGCCCTGTGGTCAAGCCCCTGCTGACCCCCAGGGTGGGCACATGCCAGGCTGTGCTCTGCTGGGAGAACCTGTTGCCAGGAACCAGCAATGGGCAGAGGGACTGCTCAGGCAGTGGCTGTGTCCTCACGCTGCAGGTCGGCCCAGACATCACACAGCTGGAGGTGCTTTACTGGCCTTGAGGGAGTGAGCCGGGCATTCTCCATGCCCTGTCTGTGGAAGGGGTGGCAAGCCCTGGGAGGCATTCTGCCCAAACCCCAGCAGAATTTCTGTTTGAGGCAAATTAGATGGTGTGTGATCACATTCCTGATGAAGTTGGCCAGGGTAGTAAGAGAACGAGTCTGAATCCCCACCTGGCCTGTAAGCAGCCACATGCTACCCCTAGAGGCTTTCAAAAAGAAGATTCCCCAACATTTGGACTAATTGGAAGCAACGCCCCACAGCATCGGGTGGAGAACATGCTCCTCCATTGGGTCCCAATTTACAGACGGTCATCCTTTCCCAGTCCGTGGCTTTAGGTGGTACTTGAGGCCTTTGTAGAGTCATTGCATCTAAGTGGCCACTAAAAACAATGTCCACTGACATGTGGAAATGGCCCCTGTTCCACATGGATGCCACGCCTGTTTGTGGATAAAAGGGTGATGCTGGTCAGGGCCTGTCCAGGGCCTCTGAGGTTGCTAGATGGTGGCCGTGTCACTGATCTTGGACAAAGTGAATGAGCATGCTACGTGCCTGGGTGTTGGATAGACCTCAGGACTCCAGGCCACCTGGCCACTTGAGTCCCAGGGTCCCAGCTTTGTGGAGTAACCTTTGGGAGCCAGGTTTGGACAGCCTGTAATTGATGATTAATGACAATTCATCTCACTCCTAATTATAGATCAGTGGTGGTCTGCGGCACCTGTCACTCAGCAGCAGCAGTGGCAATTGCCTTGGCTCTGTGGCACTCCCGTGCTTGCTGATTTAGCAGAACTCTTTTTGACAGACCTCTCGGACGGGCTGAGGGTCAGGAAAGGGTTTGGTTCAAGCTCATTTCTGCTGCTAAAGTCTTTTTTATATATACAAGAAGAAGAATCAAAACTGTTTCTAGAATCTTGGGTCAGGAGTCTGAGTGTGCTCCTGGGACATGGAGTGGAACCAGAGATTCTCACCCCAGGCATGGGACCTTCCCTGAGCTGACAAGGCTGCCTTGTTACTGAGCCATGGTGGACTGCCGCTCCAGGCCTGGGGAACTGGAATGCCTTTCTGAGCAGTTTAGCCCATTGGCTGACCCCCCACCTCTTTCTCCCACGCCTCCTGATAAGCCTGGCCTGGGACTAGGCAGAGTTCTGGCATAGGGTCTGTGGGGAATCTGTTTGCTTCCCATTTCTTTTTAATTTTTTAAAAAATCAATTTGCTTTCCAGGAGAATCACTGTTTACGTATTAAGATCCTGGGGGATTGTTACTACTGTGTCTCGGGGCTGCCTGAAGCCAGGGCTGACCATGCCCACTGCTGCGTGGAGATGGGCATGGACATGATCGAGGCCATTTCGTAAGTTCCCCACTCAAGGGAGACCGTCCACAACCTAAGCAATGCCTGCCTGGCCTACTGGACAGGTGGAAGCAGGACAACCATGGGGCAGAGCCATCTCCCCACGCCAACCTGGAGGCAGATCTGCACCTCCAGACTTGGTGGCTTCTCCAGGGCTCCTTACCACCCACAATGGGGGTGCTTCACCCAGCAGAGGCACCAGGGGGAGGACTCTGCAGGCTCCAGGCAGGGGGAGAAGCTAGTAGTCATGGCAGTGCCCCCGGTGGGCCTCACACTCCTGTGTCTTCTCATAAACTCCTAGCCGGGGTAGAACCCACTGGCCTCACTTCCTCCCGGATGGGAGAGCTGGGCTCACAAGGGTTAAACAGCTCAACAGGGCCTAATCCTAGTGGGTAGATTCATAACAGGAGTTCCCATTTCAGAGACTCCACCCTTCTTGGGGGCGATAGCAAAAAGGCTCTTGGGCCAGGTCTTGGTCATCACTAGCCATTGAAGGAACCCTGGATTTTGTAAAATGAGGTCAGTCCAAGCCTGCATGTCAGCCAGGGGAGCAGGTCAGAGATTGTGTCCAGGTTCAGTAACTCTGGACTTTAGGAATAGCCTGGACAGGGGCAAAGGAAAAGACAGATGGCCAAATCAGAGGTCAGAGTGGATGGCTAGGAAGGTGGCCAAGTCTGTTGATATTCACCAGGTGTCCCCTGCATGTCTGGGCTAGATAGTCCCTCATCCAGCAGTGCAGAGTATAGTAAGGGGGACAGGCCAGGATTCCCATTGATTAACATTGATCAGATGTTTCACGTGGACACTACAAGGTAAGAGAGGCAAACTAAATGAGGAGGGGGCAGTTGGTTCCACTCAGGGGGTTTAAAGAGGCTTCACCAAGGAGGCAGCCCTGGAAAAAACACCAAGGCATAAAACTCCTAAGCAAGTGTCCTTCTGCGTACATTTGGTCATACATGGGCTGACCAAATTGATCCCAGAACAAGAGAAATGATGGATGACAGATCTCCCCTGCGATCTTCCCTCTCCCTGATGGGGGTCAAGTGGGGTGATAAGCCCAGAGTTCAAGGGGTGGTCCTACCCACTAGGCCACATCAGACTACTGGTCCCATGACTAGCCAAGTGGTCATCCCTGGGGTATCAGAGGCTCCCAGTACCTCAAAAGTACAAAATGTGTACACCCTGGCACCTGTGCCCTCTTCTGCAGACTGTGGGCAGGCCTGGGAGCACCAGCCACTGACATGTAGCCTCCTTCCCAGTCTGCCTCCCCCTCTCCCCTAGCATAAGAGGTTATAAGTGAAGGGCCCATCTGCTTTTCTGGGGACCCCTGGATAAACAGTTGGGGCCTGGGGACGTCCCATAGGACATGAAACCCTCCTAGACCCCTGCATCTTCCCAGATTCCTTTTATCTCCTGAGTAGGGAATATGTGCTCCCTTGAAACCCAGTTAATCGCTTTTCTCCATCATCCTGCTAATGTCAGAGAAGCAGCAATGTGGATAAATCCAATAAACAGATAATCCAAAAGCCATCTCTGTCTTATCCATAGAGCATTATGATTGGGGTTTAGGGTGGCTGTAACTTCCCTATTGGGTTCTAGTTGACACTAAGCTACATTTGCATTTCTCTGAATACAATCTAATTGACTGAAGGTAGCAATGGCCCTCCATGCCCTCTGGAGGGGAGGCAGTGGGACCCTGGGTTACTGTGCGAGGCACTACGCCACCTTGTGGACAAGGCAGGAATAGTGCCTCAAGTTAGTGCCCCTGAGCACCAGGACCAAGCACCTGCAGCACCTACTCCCAGTCCCTTTCAGGTTGAACGTTCTAGATTCTATTTAGTTTGGACCAGAGAAATGCCTTTTAACTCCTATGTCTTCCAATGCTCTCCCCGAGCCCTGCCTTCCAGCCTCACCCCCACCTGTGTGCTTGACCCTTGACCCTCCCCCAGCCTTACCCCTACTCCATCCCCAGGTTGGTCCGGGAGGTGACTGGGGTGAACGTGAACATGCGCGTGGGAATTCACAGCGGGCGAGTACACTGCGGTGTCCTTGGTCTCAGGAAGTGGCAGTTCGACGTCTGGTCTAACGACGTCACGCTGGCCAACCACATGGAGGCTGGGGGCAAGGCAGGGTGAGTGAGGGCCCAGACTTTGCTTCCTGCTCAATACCATTTGGGAACTATCCCGAACAGTCAGGGCTGGGTGGAAGGGAGGGGAGATCCATCTGGCTGGCAGAACTGAAGTAGAGATTCCTTGACTTATTTAAATCACAGTGTGGTCAAGTTGTAGAGAACATCATCATGATCTCCCTTTGCCAGGGGCGAGGGGGCTTACAAAAAAAATGTGGTGATGGGGTAGAATTTTGAGCAGAAGGGAAAGGTTTTCAAGACTGAAGCTGACATAGAGGCCAGTACTAGGAGGTGAGGTGTGAGATGGTGTGGGTGTAGTAGGTGTGAGCTTTCTGAAATCTGGCCTCCAAGGGCCATCTTGATAATATGGGAAGGATGTACATCTGAGCCAGAGTCTGGGGTCCTGGGCCTTGAACCATGGTTGACTCAGAACTGCAGTTTGGTTTTGCATGGGAGGGTTAGTTTCTGAGCTTGCATTTCCTGCCTTCCCCATCCTGATCCCCTCTCCGCCCATAGACGAATCCACATCACCAAGGCCACACTCAACTACCTGAACGGGGACTACGAAGTGGAGCCCGGCTGTGGGGGCGAGCGCAACGCCTACCTCAAGGAGCACAGCATAGAGACTTTCCTCATCCTGCGCTGCACCCAGAAGCGGGTCTGTGGGCCAGGGCTGGAGGCGTGGGCTGAGGGCTCTGTTCCTTTTGGAGAGGAGCATTTTCATGGTCTCTCCTCCTTCATCTCTTGAGCAAAGTCATGAATTCCTTATGTAGTTGTGGCTTCTGCATCTTAGAAAAGACGGGAGAGTGAGGAAGGCCTTGCCAAAGATGATGGCAAAGATTTGGTTTGGTTTCTGCTTCTGTTGCAAAAATTCAACGGGCTTCAAATCAGCCAGCAACAGAGCCTCAGAAGGCCGCTGGATGGAGCCCAAGCAGCAAGGATATGCGCACTTACCCTATATCTGCTCTCCACCCCGCCTCTTGTTCGGCCCTCCTCATGAATATGGGCAGCCAGCTCCACCTATATCTATATATGTGTTTCTGGAATCTCTCTTTTCCCTTTTCACTTTCTAGCCTCTTTCTTCTTCCCCTTTGTCTGAGCTCAAACTTGCCAGAGTCTAAAACTGAATTATTAGCTGACTTTGGTGTTCTATTTTTAATAGTGACATGTTCCATGTTCTTAATTTTTAAAGCGAATGAAGAGAACATTTTATATTTCTCCCTAAATTAAAATGTCTTTGACTTCTCAGTCTTTCCGTTGAGTTGATCTGTTGGTCAGTGCCCTTTGGTAGAGAAAAGCTTCCCTGTTTCTTTTCCTGAGAAATTAGACCAAACACAAAGTCACTGTGAGGACAGTTCAGAGAAGAAAGTCTTGGGTGACCGAAGTATTAGGTTTTTAAGAGGAGGTGTGGAAGTTAGGGCAGGTGTCTACCCTCAGGGGGACATCAGAGGGGCATGAACCCCCAGGGCAAGATCCTGTTGCAGGGTCCTTGCAGTGAGTCATATTGAATCCCCTCTGCAGACAGCCAGAAGAGGGATGGGAGGACTCAGGGCACTTTGGAGAGAGCTCCTCGTGGCTTAACCTGCACAGTTGTAAACATTTGCTTGTTCTTTGGCCAGAGTATAAATGAACTGAAATCCTTGTGGGCCCTCTTCCCACATCCTTCCTCGGGGTCCCTGGTTCACAGCCACCTTCCCACCCTGAGTTCCCTGGGCCTTGTTTCCTCCAGTTGACAAGTGGTCCAGAAGAGAGGAAATGGGACAGAGTAACAGAGAGAGAGGGACAGCCCCCATCCCAGCAGTGTCAGCTGAGGCACGCTGAATGCTCCCCAGCACCACCTCTAAGGAAGGAGGGAGTTGAGGGGGGGTGCCTCGGGCGTCCCCAGTCCTCCACCCCTAGAACCCAATTGGAAGGATAGACGGGTGAACAGACAGATGCTGGGAGAGTGTGGGCCCATAAGTACCTGCCCTGTCTCCTTTTGTGTCTTTGTACAATTGTGTCAGCCCTTGAATCTCCTCATTTCAGTGACCCAGACCTCTGTGGAAGCAGCCTTCTGGGCAGCAGTGGCCTGTCCTACTTACTGCCCTCTCTGCTAGAACGTGCCTATTTGGGAGAAGCTGAGTGGAGACTGGAGTCCCAGGTCCCCTCTCCCTCCATCAGCCCCTGGGCACCTTTAGCACCAGCTCTTCCCAGTCCTGAGGCGGTAGGCTGAGAGCCCTGCCCTGCGCTGGCCCATGCATCCCAATAGCAGAGTCTGCTATGATTCTGTAGCTTGCAGGGTGGGAGGCCCAGACTTGTGCCAGCCTGGCTGCCTGGGAGACCAGAGGTGAGGCTTAGTCCCTTCCCCACCTTACCCACCCTCTGAGTGCCCCAGAAGCAGTGGGGAGGAGCACAGGCAGCCAGCAGTAGTTCAAGCCTTGGGAAGCTTAGGCAACCCAATGGAAGGACATGGCCTTTGATTTTGAGAGGCACCAGGGTAGAATCTTGTGACCAAACCTGCAGGGAGAACTCCTTGCTGTTTGCTTTCTCACAAGACCAGGGCTCATCACCTTCTGCCACTCTCCCCCGGGGCCAGCCAGGTGTTGGGGGTGTGGAGGCTCTGGGATCTTGGCAGACCTCTGGGCTCCGGGGTTGTTCAGAGAGGCAGGTGCGGCTGCCTCAGCCCCTGCCTGGCCAGGTACTGCGTTCCTGTGGCCTTGCCCACAGGCTGATGTATCTGTGTTGCTCTCTAGAAAGAAGAGAAGGCCATGATCGCCAAGATGAACCGCCAGAGAACCAATTCCATCGGGCACAACCCACCACACTGGGGGGCTGAACGCCCGTTCTACAACCACCTGGGCGGCAACCAGGTGTCCAAGGAGATGAAGCGGATGGTGAGTAGCTGGCAGAAGGGTATGCAGGTGACAAGGTCCAAGGCCAGTGTTATCTAGGAGTGTGAGAACTGGCCCAAGTCCCTCTGGTTGCCTGGGGGAGTCCGGGGAGCCATAGGAGGAAACGTAAGTGGGCTCACCCCAACTTTGGACAAGGAGCTGGCACACCTAACTCTGGCCTGGGCACTCCCCTCGAGTCCTAACATCTTGTGGCATGCTGAATATGGCATGGGAACAGAGCTTCAGTGCCCCTTCCTCTCTCCTGGCAGAAACTGCTGGTGTAGGCTGGGAGTATGCCCTTCCAGCCAGACTCAGGATCCTGTCAGGGCCTCTGGCTGGGTCTTGGCACTGTCTGGTGAGGCCCTGGGGAGCTGGGTGGACACTAGCCTTCCAGATCCCCTTCTAGCACCTACTGCATTTCCCACGCAATTGAAGTCACATCTTTTCTTTTTTTTTTTCTTTCTACCAGGGATTGAACTGAGGGCCACTCGACCACTAAGCCACATCCCTAGCTCTATTTGGTATTTTTGAATTTAGAGACAGTGTGTCATTCAGTTGCTTAGCACCTCATTTTTTGCTGAGGATGGCTTTAAATCACCATCCTCCTTTCTCAGCCTCTCAAGCCGCTGGGATTAAGGCGTGCGCCACCTCGCCCAGCTTCAAGTCACATCTTTTGAGTCAGTTGCTCAGAAACCATCCCAAGGCTTTCTGGCAAGGGTTGGGTGATGGTCCCTTTGCCCTCTGTGCTGAGAAACACCCCCTTTCCCACTGACTCCATCCTTCCAGCTGGGTACATAGGACTGACATCTCCACCTAAGGTACCCTGTCTGCCTCAGGGCACAGACACTCCAGCTATCACTGCGTAAACCAGGGACAGGCTAATTCAGGACACTGCTGGGCTCTTGCAGAAATGACAGGAAGATAGAATTAGGAGTCGGAAGGAGAGGAAGGAGAATGACAGGAAGCCAGGTTAGAGCAGTAGCATTTCTTTGTGCTGAGAGTGTGGCCACCACCTCTCAGGCCCCTGATCAGCACAAGGGCACCTCTTCGCCAGGTGGAAGCCACCCTGATGGGGAGGGCTGGGGGAGGGTGGTTTTAATGTGTGAATAAGCTGGAGTGGGCTGCTAGCCCAGGAATCCTCCAGTTGGGGTCTGTGGATCAGATGGGGTTTAAATGGAGCTGAAGGAACAAGAGACACACAACATGGGGAGCCAGCAGCCTGTAGGAGGGGACAGGCTGGGCGCCCAGTCACCACTCCTTTCTAGCCAACAGCAGCAGATGACACAGGTTTCAAGGAAGTGTGCAGGAGGGAAATGATTGGTCAGACCTCTGCCTAACATTCTATAGGTAGATAAGCTGGTTGAGGGACACTGGTGTGACCAGGGAGCATATGGGAGAGGCTTGGTTTCCCCAGGGGCTTTGAACCTGGACATCTGCAGACCTGGTGAATGCCACAGGCTCTGGCCACCACTTTCCCTTGCCCCAGCAGCCCTCCACAAAGCAAAGAGCAGGTGGCAGCTGTGGTCACCTGAGTCTTGCAGATTGTAGCCACATGACTGGGCTGGTCAGGAAGGGAGGGAGGGGTGAGATGGAAGGGGCGTTGGAGGTGAAGAGTGGGGAGGAGAGAGGGCAAGGAAGGGGAGGCAGAGAGGTGGAGAGGAAGCAGGGAGCAGCCAGCGAGGAGGAAAGGGACCTGGTGGTAAATCACATTCTCTGTTTAAAATCCTAGGGAAGTTATTTTTTAGTGACACTTGGTATAAGCTGCATCTTTAGTCATTTCAGTCCTAAAAGAGGCTGTTTGGACTATCAGCACCTGTTTGGCAGACAGATTCATCATTGTTAGGATAAGGAGCCTTGGAAGGATTAGCAGGAAGGGCTGTAACTGGGGAAGGGATTCTGGGGAGAGGGGAAAGCTCCTCCCAGTGTGAACTGCTTCACCCAGGAAAGGAAAGAGGGGAGGCCCAGCCTCTCTGCTGTCTGGCTGGGCAGTGTCCCTTGATTATCCATCCCCTCCTGGCCCCATCTCAGTCTGTCTAATGGGAATCTCTAAGCTGGGGACAGAGGCAGTTCCTGCAGCAGCTGAGCAAGCCGTGCACTTTTGGAGTTAAACTTGACAGAAATCTTTTGAGAAAGACACGTAAAAGAAGAGCTTTTGCCCTGAATTCCAACGCACAGGGGAGTTTTTTAAAAGAAATAGCCCACTGAAGGTGGAGGGGTAGGGATTCCATGAAACTGTAACAGAGCAGCTAAAAAGTTCTAATTTGGGATTGGCAGATTGGTTTTTTTTTTAATCTTTTTTTTTTTTTTTTTGGTCAGGTGAGGGGGAAGGAGTACCAGGGATTGAACTCAGGGGCACTCAACCAGTGAGCCACCTCTCCAGCCCTTTATATATTCTATTTAGAGAGAGGGTCTTGCTGAGTTGCTTAGGGCCTTGTTAAGTTGCTGAGGCTGGCTTTGAACTCATGATCCTTCTACCTCAACTTCCCAAGCTGGTGGGATTATAGGTGTGTGCCACCACACCCAGAGGTTTTTTGAAATCTTTACCCAATTTTTCTTGGCTTTTGAATTCCATGAGGAGCTGTGCAGGTCTCTGCTCAGGCATGCCTGTTGTAACATCCTCTTAAGATTATTTATTAAATAGAGACTGATGATGGGAAGCCTGTGGATTGAGCTTATGTAACCAACCCCAGGAAAGCTCTGTGTTCCCCCGGGGACCAGCAGGCTGGGAGAGGTGAAGTGACTCATATCCTAGCTCCAATGAGCTGGGTGGGGGAGGTGGATTTGCACCCAGTCTGGTGGACTGTGTTTTGATTTTTGTTTTTCTGTGATGTTGGGAATTGAACCCAGGGCCTCACACTTGCTAGACAAGTGTTCTACCACTGAGCCCAGGTCTGTTTTCAGTAACCTCACTGCTGTGGTTTATGGACCAAAAGAATTTCTGCCCTGTAATCAGTGCACCACTCAACCAGATGCTAAGCTGTACAGACCAACATGGCACCGTGTGTGCACCTGGCTCCCACCTCTGCACCGTAGGGAAAAGTGGGTGCCCAACATCTGCCTTAGCAGATGACCTAAGGGACATTGGAGAAAGTTAGAAACATGTTTATTCAAAACACTTTAGTATAACTAATTAGAACAAATTAAACAATAGAAAATTAAATTAAAAGCACTTTAGGATGTTTTTGATCTGTAGAGATGGGCATATGTATAATAGAGCTCGATTGTTCTTGGTTGCTTAATAAACTTGTTGCCAATCTATGGAAGGATGCTAGAGCATTAGCATCTCATGGCAGTAATCTGTAGGGTGCTCTCCTCTCTGCTGGTCATGCTGTGCTCCAAGGGGTCCTGGGCACTTCAGGGATAGGTTGGTCCTCAGTCAGAGCACCCATTTGAGTGATAGCAAAGTAGGACAGGTCTTGCAGCAAAGAGGCAGGGCCTTGGGAGACAACTGACAGGCCCTCCTGGGTTGAGCTAGGAGCAGCTCAGAGCACTGGAAATTGTTGGTCCTTGAATGTGCCCCCCCACCCCAGGTGGAGCTGCTGAGGCTCAGGAAGTGGTTAGCTGAGGATAGAATAGAAGGCACAGCACCTTGAAGCTGCATGGATGCCATGTCTGTTTCAGTACCTGAAAGCTCATGGAGAACAGCCCCTCTTCTTTCTTTATTTTTTTAAATAATATCTTTATTGTATTTTTATGTAGTGCTGAGGATCAACCCCAGTGCCTCATGCATGGTAGACGGTATGCCTCATGCATGTGGCTCTACCTCTGAGCCACAACCCCAGCCCAGCCCCTCTTCTTGTATCTCTAAACCATATCCTTGATGGGATGAAGCGAGATCCGTTTGGATTTTTGGTTCACACAACATTTGCTGAACTCCCTTTTTGTACAGTAGTGCTCCACACTGGGCCACAGAGACAAGGGGCCATTCCCTGTCTTTTGTCCTGGAAGCCCAAGCCTTATCTGGAACTTCAAGTCTGAGGGCTGTTTGTCTCCCCCACTGCCTTCTGGATTCTGCCCCTTCCCACTGTAGGGACCCTCCATTCTACCACAGCTAGTTAGACCCTGACACAGTTTTGGGGACTTCACAGGCTAAATAGGGCTTTGAGTTTGATGATCAGCAAAGGCCAGTGCCCCACCCCCCCCCCCCTGGCCCCCTGCAGAAACACAAAACAGCAGCCAAACCCATGTAGGTGTTCCTTACCTCCAGAGAGCCCCAAAGTCCAGCCTGGCAGAAATACGTTGGTTCTCAGATACCAAAACAACTTTGTTGCAGGAGTCTGGATTGAAATTTTTAAGTGAAGAACCTGTGAATTCCCATGGTTTTTGTGTGCTCTTTGTGCCTTACATGTGTGAGGAGGGGTGTATGGGGGGGAGGGTATGGAGGCTTGGGATAAGGGGAGGAGTCCACAGAGGGTGGGGGTCAGGAAGAGCTTAGACACAGGGACTTTGCAGTGGATGGAATGGCATCAGTGTCCCCAGCATCTAGCATGGATCATGCCTCAGAAGGACCTCACTGTCATCAAACAGGGGGAGGGAGGGAGGGAAGGAAGGGGCAGACTTCTGTGTCCAGTGCTTTGAGAGACCACAATGAGCAGAAACTGGCCACTCCTCACAGGCTCAGCTCACTCCCTGCATGTCCTCAGTGCTCTCTGTTCTCACACTTCTCTCTCTCTCCTCTCTTTCTCTCTCCTCTTTTAGGGCTTTGAAGACCCAAAGGACAAGTGAGTAATAAGCCCTTCTTTATTCCTGACACCACCATCTGGGAAATAGCTCCAAATCTGCCTTCCCATCCGGTTCCCCACACTCATGGAACATGGTCCCACAGCAGTCAGCTGAGAGTGAAAGGAGCCTGCCGTAACAAACAGGTGGTCAGTAGTGGCCCCACACAGGCCAGGCCAGCCCAGGGACCAGCCCACCTGGCAGAGGGCTGGGCCTCAGTGCAGCCTGTTTCATTTCCTCTGCACATGTGTGCACACACACGCACACATATATGCACACATACACAAGTGCATGTATGCGTGTATAGACACACAGGTACATGCGTGCGTGCACATGCTCGGCAGGCTCCGACCACACCCAGCATCCTGAGGGAATGCCTTCCTTGCGCTCCTCTGATTCCCGGTTCTCAGGACTGTCAGGGGTTCCACTCAAGGACCAGACTTCACCCTGAGAAATAGTTGGGTTTTTTTTTAATATTTATTATTTAGTTGTAATTGGACACAATACCTTTATTTTATTTATTTATTTTTATGTGGTGCTGAGGATCAAACCCAGGGCCTCACTCTTGCTAGGCAAGCGCTCTACCACTGAGCTACAACCCCAGCCCCGAGAAACTCAGCACTCAAAGACCATGAAGCCTGCTTCACAAGAGGGCCCTGAGTCCAGTTAAAGGGACCAGGCAGACCACAGTCACTGTGACAGGAGTCCCACCTCCCCATCTCAGCCTTTGTTTCAGGATGAGGAGACAGGTGGAGGATAAAGAGCAGAGGGTGTTTTCTTTAGGGAAAACAACAAAATCTTCTGTAATGATTCCCAGTATTATCACATACTGAGTTATCTCGCCAGCGAGGCCCTCCAGCAGCAGGCCTGAGGGTCAGGCGGCTTCCCCTGTGTGTGCATTTGCAGAGAGTAAGGGCTCACCTGGCCTCAGTCCCCGGGTCAAGGCTGACCATCACCACTGCCAGTCTCTCTGGTTATTCCACCTCTAAGGGTGCCCCTGATGGTCATTGGGTCTGGGTCTGTGCCTCCTGCCCCCCAGGAATGCCCAGGAAAGTGCAAACCCTGAGGATGAAGTGGATGAGTTTCTGGGCCGGGCCATTGACGCCAGGAGCATCGACAGGCTGCGATCTGAGCACGTCCGGAAGTTCCTCTTGACCTTCAGGGAGCCTGATTTAGAGAAGAAGGTATGGCACCTGGGTGGGGTGCAGAGCCAGGACCAGGGAGGCAATAGGACACTTCCTTCCAGCACCAAGGAAGGAGCAGCTTCTTGTCGCCTCAGTTTCCTCATATGTGATACTGTGCTGCCCAGGGAGTTCTAGAGAGACTTCCTTGGTTAGAAGGAATAAATCTTTTTTTATATATATTTATTTTTTAGTTGTAGTTGGACATAATACCTTGATTTAGTTATTTTTATGTGGTGCTGAGGATCGAACCCAGGGCCTCGCACATGCTAGGCGAGCGCTCTACCGCTGAGCACTGTCAGCCCCAGCCCTAGAAGGAATAAACCTTAATCTTACTGCATCTTGGCTTCCTTATCTAGAAACAGATATTACAGTGAGGAATAAATGAGTTCTCTTTGTGTAAAACACAGAAAATAATAACTGCCGCCCCGAGGCTGTTCACTAAACATTGGTTGCTGTTGGTATTGCGATTGCTGCTGTCATTTGGCCACACAGCTTGAGGCACACTGGAGCCTCCAGGCCTGAAAGTTGGAAGGGGCAGTCAAGATCCCTGTGCCCCACCTCCTTGGGCTCTGAATGCAAAAGTCACCCAGTGAAGTAGTTCCAGAGCCACGGCTGGACCCCAGGCCAGGCCTCTTTGCACCATATTGCAGGGTCTCCCAGGGTTCAGTTCACACGGGCGTGGGTGAACTCTCATCAGCATTAAATGAGGGAAGCTGGTTAGCAGAGAAACACTTTTCAACAAAGGGAAGTAAGCGGTCCTGACTTATGCATTGCCTGCTCCAGGTGACCGTGCAGCAATGACCTCCATGAGTGCAGCTGGGTGGTGTCATGGAGAAAGCTGCAGCTGGGAATTGGGAGCTCAGAGTGACCTTGGGCAAGTCATGGAAGCTCTCCCAGCATGCTCACCTCAGAAGTAGGAATAACAGCAGTCCTGTGCCTGTGTCTGGGGATGTTGTGAGCATGACCGATGGTGATGCAGATGATGCCCAGGAATTGACAGTTGTGATCATGATGAACTAATGACAGTGACTTGGCCTGCATATAGTTTCTGTTTGATCCAATCCCAAGTCCCTCCCCACTGCCCTCCTCCGGGCACCATCTTGCAGGGATTTGCACTGGTTTCTTGTGATCTGTGTCTGTCTCTGGGTCTCAGATCCTAGGCTCTCTGGGATTGACCTGGCTGGGGTGGGACATCCTCCACCTCTCACCCTGTGTGTCTCCTCTCAGTACTCCAAGCAGGTAGATGATCGATTTGGTGCCTATGTTGCCTGTGCCTCGCTCGTCTTCCTCTTCATCTGCTTCGTCCAGATCGCCATTGTGCCCCAGTAAGTATCCCCATCCCTCCTGGGCTCCGTCCTCTGGCTGCAGGGTGGGAGAGCTGGTCATTTAGAAGAAGAGAATAGGGAGGCTAGGCTGAACCTCCTCGAGCAGGAGAGGTTTCTCCACCTGTCCTTGGTGGACGAGGAAGCCAGGGTGAGTCCTCTCATCTGGGTGGAAGACTTCTCACTGGGCACTGCTTAGCTGCAGGAGAGACCCCTGTCCACCACTTATCATCTCATGCCACTTAGCACATACCTCTGTTACCCGGTTGAATCACCCAAAGTATCTGCCAGGCTGCCTCCTGTATGAACTTTAGATCTTGGAAAAAAAACAATACATCTTCAAAAGACAAAGGTTTCTTACTACTGTAGGTATTTCAAAGAGTGGAATAATTCAGGTTCTGAAGTTTTGTCACAAAGAGACACTGTTGAACTTTTCTGAGGACTATTTGTATCACTGTGAGAGCCTGTGGCTTCTGCAGGAACCACTTTGAAGTAGGTAGTGGGCTTTCAGAAATAAAGTTTAGTAGATTGTCATATAGAGTCATGCCTAGGAGAGAAATGTGTATGCATGTGTGTGTGTGTGTGTATATATACATATGTTCGTGGGTATATATGTGTATGTATACATGTTTTTGCATCTTATGTGTGTAAAATCATTCAAACATACAAAAAGTAATATAATCAACACTTATCCCCTAGCTTTGTTAATATTTTGCAATATTTGTTTCAAAATTTTTTCCTGTTTTTTTTTTTGGAGGGGGGGGTACTAGGCATTGAACCCAGGGGTGCTTTACCACTAAACTACATCCCCAACCCTTTTCTATTTTTTCTTTTGAGATAGTGTCTCACTAAGTTGCTTAGGGTCTTGATAATTTGCTGAGGCTGTCCTTGAACTTGCAATCCTCCTGCCTCATCCTCCTGAGCCACTGGGATTACAGGTGTACACCACTATGCCTGGCTTTTCCTGATTATCTAAAGTAAATTTATGAACATTTTGCCCCTAAAATCCTCAGTGACCTCCATTTAAAGGACATTTTCTTCCTTAAAGTCAACATCGATTCTCTACTAACCCTGTACTCAGTCCATGTTCCAGTTTTCAAAATTGGACCCCAAAGAGTCTTCTACTCTTATTTTTTTCCAATAGGGATCTACTCAAAATTCCCTGGTTGCAAGTGGCTATATCTTGTAAGACTTGCTTCATCTAAAGAGTCCCCACACCCAACACATTCTATTTTTCATTTTGAAATAATTGTAGTCTTCTGAGAAGTTGCAGAAGTAGTGCAGAGCCTCTGTGTGTCTGTCTCTTACCAGTTTCCCCTACTGTTGACAACTTCCAGAGCCACAGCACAGTGATCAAAAACAAGAAACTCATGCAGGAATGATACTGTTCACTAACCCACAGAGCATGTTCTCATCTTATCCGTCCCCCCAGGGCCCTTTTCCTGTTCCAGCCGCCAGGTTGGGATCCCACCCTGCATTTAGTCGTCTTATCTCCTCCTCCGTCACTTCCAATCTGATAGTTCAGCCTTTGCCTGTCTTGCATGACCGTGGCACTATTGATGAGTCCTGGACAGTTAGAATGATGCAGTTTGGGTGTGTCTGATGCTCTCCTGATCAGATTGGGGCTGTGTGTTTTGATGAGACTCCCAGGGGAGTGACCATGTGTCCTGTCAGGGCATGGTGTTAGGAGGCACGTGAGGTTGACATGCCTTTTAACTTAACACCTTTTATTTTTATGACATTTATTGTTGAAAAGGTGCCCCATGCATTTGTATATACTATGACTCTATCAGGGCACCCCAGGTAACAACCAGATGCTGGTGTGGGCTCCACCCGGTTGTGCAGCTAAACACTCCACGGGCACCAAGGCTGTGCAGGGCTGGTGGGATTGTGGGTCCATATTGGCATAGAACTCCATTTTTCTGTATTGAAATGGAGCCACAGATATCAACAAGCAGGTGAGGCCTTCTGTCCCTTAGCTGAGTGCATAATCCTGCCTCTTTGCCATTTTCCTTTCTCTGCAGCGTGGCCTGGGGGCTGGGCCACCCCAGCTCCTGCTCTGTCTGCAGTGGCTTCGTTCCCTCCTCTGGCCATAGCTCTAAGTGGCTAAGGCATTGACAGAGGTTGTCTCTAGCCATCCCTCTCTAGGGAAACCTTAAAAGCCACTTTAAAGATTTTTTTCTTCTCCCTGTTCCATTTGTTGAGGTCCACTAAATGATACTTGTGTGGACAGGGGTGCTGTCTGAGTCCTCCAGGGCCGGCTCCTTCCCTGGGCCTTGCTGTCTATAACCCACCTCCAGGTCACTTTCCTCCCTTGAAGGGCTCCTGGTGGCACAGCATGTGGCTGTCCCTGGCCAGCCCCTGTCCCAGGAGGCAATGGAAGGAAAGTGTCTTGCAGCTCATTTGTCTGAGGATTTCCACCGATGGGGGCCTGTGGTTTGCCTGGGAAATGAGGGACAGGGACACTTGTGTACTTTTCTTATTGAGCTGGCTGGGAATGGTGGGGGCAGGGGTAGAAACTGAGCAGGATGTGTGGGGGGGGCCCTGGCAGTGGGCAGTGGGTAAGGGACAGGGATTAGGGACTGTCATTCTGAATGTATGTATCAGCCTTATTTCTCAGAGTGGCTGGCTGAGCTGCTGATACATGCATTTATATAAACAAAGGCCATTTGTCAAATCCACTCTCAGTCCTTGAGGTTATTTATCAAGCCACCAGTAATGATGTGGAGGGAAGGACCAGGTGATTTTTAAAGTGGGTTCTCCCAAGCTAAGTGAGGTACTCTGTGAACAGCTAGGAATACAGTATTGGTCAGGTAGCACCTGGCTTTCCATCCAGCTCCCAATGGGCTGCTGTCCCCCTGCCCTCAGGAAGGGGATATTGGGCGAGGGACAGAAGGGAAGAGGCCACACTGTCACAGGCCAGAGCACTTCTCTGGAGTGGGAGGGAAGAGCAGGGGGCTTGGGGGAAATGAAGCAACTTCAGGTTCTCTCTCGGCTTTCAGAGCCTCGGGCTCCGGAGTTGTGCGGACAGGCCCTGGGGACTTGTGGCCTGTGTACTAGGCAGGCCCCAGGGAGGCTCAGGCCCAGCACCTGGACGTGGCTTCCCCCTCCCCCCTTTCTTCCCCAGCTCCGTGTTCATGCTGAGTTTCTACCTGACCTGTTTCCTGCTGCTGACCTTGGTGGTATTTGTGTCTGTGATCTACTCCTGCGTGAAGGTGAGTCCAGCCGACTCCTGGGCCAACACCTTCTTCTCTCTCCTCCCAGCCACTGCCAGGGGCTATGGCCAAGTCATGTGCTTGGCATGGGGGAGGGACAGTATAGTGCTGACCACCACTCCAGATTGGCATTGGTGGCAAGCTAGGATGGAGGTGAGCCTCATTCTTATTGGCAGGCTCAGCCCTCGTGAATCTTCACAACAAGAAAATGCTGTCATGGCCACTTCTTGGAATCAGATGGGGTGATGGGAGGGAGGGCGCCTCACACAAAGCCTGGCACAGAGCAGTGGTCAGTAAGCACTCGCTAAGACCTTCCTGGATACACCTGTGACACCACCTTCCGTTGCTGGGTGCTCAGGTTTGCCCTGGGAGGATCTCAGAGATGAGGGATTGGGGTCCATCATGCAGATCAGTGCGTGGCTGTAGAAAGGCTCAGAGTTCCAGACAGCTCACATGGCTAGCTCAGTCAGCAACGCGAGTTCAGGACCTGGAACCTGGCTCCCTTCTTCCATAATTATTTCTTTGGGGCATGTCACATACCCTCTCCAGGCTATGTCCTTCAGTGGCACTTGACCCCAGGCCATTGTGGTCTGTGCTAGATCATTCAGTTTCCTGTCTACCCAGCCCACACAGCCTTTCCCGTGATTCTTTACCAGGAGGCCAAGAAGCTCTCTAACAGCACAGTTGCGCCCTCCCCAGGGCCTGCCAGGCCTCTGCTCCACCCTGACATGACACTCACTCGCCCTGACACTAACCAGGAGTAAGCCCTGCCTTCACTTTGCACACTCTTCAGAGAGCTCCATGTTCTCCTGGAAGAACTGGATCATTGTCACCTCCAAAGTCCCCTTTCTCTCTCCACCCTCCAAACAGGGTCCTTCATTAGTCTGCTAGCTGCCTAGCCACCTCAAGGTCAAGGCTGTGGTGAACTGATGGTTCAGAACTGGAGGGGACCTTGGGAGATTTCCCTCCAGCAGGTGTGGAGGTGGATGCCCAGAGAGGGGCAGGGCAGCCAGGGTCAGTCAGCACATCTGTGAGAGAAGCCTGGCAAGTGGCTGGCTGCATCACAGGGGTGACCCTCCGCCTCTCTGTCCTCAGTGCCACAATCTCCCCCGCTCTGTGCTCAGTCACCTCTTGCTATTGTCAAGTCCCCCCAGCCTGCTTTCTCTCCAGGGGAGAGTTCTACTTTCTTCATCCCATGCCTATAAAAGAATACCATATAGTCACAAAAGGCAAAAGCACCCCAAGTGTCCATCAGCAGGTGAATGGACAGATAATGTGGGGCCTGTAACCACAAAAAGGAATGACGAGCTGTTACATGCTACAACAGGGATGACCTTGAGAACATTACACTGAGCACAAGGTCACATGTTGTATGATTCCACTAAACTGACATACCTAGAATAGACAAATTCACGGACACAGCAAGTAGATTAGAGGTGACTAGCAGCCAGCAAAAGGGAGAATGGAAACTTATTGCTTAATGGGTGTAGAATTTCTACTAGAAGTGATAAAAGGTTTTTGAAATAGACAATGATGTTTGCACAGTATTGTAAATGTAACCAATGCCACTGAGGCTAAACTGGCAAATTTCATGTTATATATATTTTTTACCACAATAAAAAAAGTCACAGTAACCTTAAAAAACAAAGCATACCATAGATAAAGTAGCATCTTAAAAGTTTTTGTTCCCAGAATCCTGAAAGGAATATTTCTTTTTAAAATGAAGTTATGAACTGAAACAAAGTCATTTGTTTGTTTAAGATACTTGGCCTATTCAAATCAGAATCAAAGCTATATGTAGCCCATCCATTTTTAATTAGAACCTAAATTTGATCTCTTTCCTCTTTGGTGACCTTGGAAAACCTGAATCTATTCTGATCCCATTCCCTGTGTGTTCCCTGATTTGCACTTGGCTCTGGTGTGAGAAAGGAGGAGGTCCCTTCCCTGCCTGATGCTGACTGCTCTGGCCCTTTTGAAGTTAGTACTTTGGTCTAGTGAATTCTTTCTCCCACTGTTCAAGATGGTTTATGGAAATCATCCCTGCTTCCTTTTATACTGTGAAGGTCCCTATTTTGTTCCCAATGCCCAATTAATTCAGTAAGCTTGTTCTCAGTTCCTTTGTTGGGCCCAGTGAATTTTCTGACTGTTCTAAGGAGGCCTCCAGTTCACCTCCCTCCTGCCCGTCCACAGAAACACTGTCCCCCACACACCTGTTTCCAGGGAGCTGTCTCATCATTCTTATAGCTGGAGGGCTTCAGTAAGGAGGTGTTTAGAGAGTGCTCCCTGGTTATCCGGTCTCCAGGCTGGCAGTTGACACGTCTAATAGACACTAGCCCCACCCTCACGTCCTTGCCACTAGCCCCTGAAAGCAGTCTTCTCAGCATTTGTCCACTTCCTCGAAAGCAGAACCCGGCCCAAAACGTTGTTTGCTACGTGAACTGCTTTTCCACTTCATTCTTCTTCTTTCCCTCTTGTTAGGGGCTAAACTGTTTGTACATGAAGACATGAAAGGGGCCATTCTCCCTTTCCGCTTGTACGCACCAGATTATTAACCCACCCTTTGTGGGACGCAGGACCAGTCTGTCCCTGAGCACTATCTCATGCTGAATGCACGAAGGTGGACAGACTAAATGTTTATTGTACCACCTTGTCAGGTATTGACACAGCTGACCGAGCTGGGGTGTTCAATGTCATGCTGTTTTCCCTTTGAAAAATGTTTGCCCTTTGCCAGAAGGCAGATATTCTCCATCTTATTTCCACAGTCTCTGAGGATCCGGGGCATGCCGATGAGATGCGTAATTCCTCAGCTACTCCAGGTGCAGGCTCTGCTCATCTGAAACCATACAGTTGTCAGGCACAGTTTCTTTTCGCTGTCTCATTTGATTTTCCATTTTCCCTGAAAAACTCAAGCTTGCTTTCTTAAGTTGTCCATATTTTGACCTTTTCACAGAGAGATGCACGAAGACAGTATGGACCCAGTCTTCCCTGTGTGGGAGGAGCAAGTCCTTTCTATAGAAGGTTCTCCCTTCTCCTCACTAGTGCTCTGAGGGGGCCTTCCATCTTGGGCCTGTGGAATCTTCTCCTGACCTGGCCTGGTGCAGTTCTCATGCACCCCTGGACTTCTCGGTGAGGTTGATCCCATACCTTGATCTTCACCGTGTTCCCAGGTCCTGTCCTCACTTCTCATCCCACGGTGTGCCTTTGGAACCCTGCTGTCTCTAGGGTGACTTGGCTAAAGGATCGGAACCTGGAGTCCATCTTTTCATCGATGCGGTTGTGGAGGGCAAGTTGTATGTCTGCATGAAGGCCCTCCTCCCCTCCCTCCTCGTCTGTGCTGACCACAGCCCCAGAACCACCTCTCTGGGAGGAAACAGGGTTAAGTCCTTCCTCACCATCGCCTGTGTCCACAGACTCAGAGAATCTCAGATCGGAAGGGGCCTGAGCAGTAATGGAACCGGCCACCCACCCGAGGCTGCAGTCCCTTAACCTTGCAGGGCATGGGTCAGCCTGTGCTTGCTCACCTCCAGAGACAGTGGGCTCACTCATATCTCCCGAGTGCAGCCCCTTCCCTGTTTGCCCAGCTCCAACAGCACCACTGCTCTTTGTTGTAGTTTCTGCCTCATCACCTGTGAAGCAGCCCAGGCCTATATCTACCCAATGCCAGAGAGGGCAGCTTGTTCCTCTCCCCACACTGTGGTCTGGGACTCATGCTTTCACTGTGGCTCATCACACATCCTTATACAGAAGGTCAGCCTGTCTTTCCAGCAGGACATGGAACCCAGTAGGGGCACTCAGCTACTCAGCCATGATGTGTGTGTGTGTGTGTGTGTGTGTGTGTGTGTGTGTGAGAGAGAGAGAGAGAGAGAGAGAGAGAGAGAGAGAGAGAGAGATACTAGTGTTGGAGCCCAGGGCCTCATTCATGCTAGGTAATGCCACATCTCCAGCCTCATAAACCCAGGTAGTTCTTGACCTCAGAGCCCATGATCCTTCTCCTCCAGGACATTGCCTTGGTCAATATGTCCATTTGACTCCTGAAAGGCCAAATGATGAGACCAATGGTGTGCAGCCCTCCACCTGCCTTGTCTGGCCTCTGAGGTTTTCACATCTTTTTAGATTTTTTCCCAAAGTAAGAACTACTGCCCTTTTGTTAGCTCCTTGTCAAAGAAGCTGTTTTCTTAAACCTCTTGCTACCCAATTTTGTCACCTTCTTTCATCTCTGTAATCCACTAGCCCCATATCACAGGGCCCAGCAAGGTCAGTTTTCCTAGGGACACTCAGAGAAGCCAGTGTCTAAATTGTCCCTTATAACAGTCATGGTTTATTAATTATGTCCCCATTCCCACTGTTCATGTTGAATAATTTGAACTGATTCTAAACTTACTTTTAAAAATGTGTTTCTTTTTCTGAGCTCCAGTTGTGAGCAGGCATTGTGTGGTTTGTACAGATACAATCATCTGCTGTAACGATGCAGCCCAAGATCTGATTGCAGCCATGGTGACCCCTATGAAGAGGCTCTGTCCACCAAAGGATCTTAAGATGCACATTGGGGTTATCAAATTTGGATTTGGGATTCACATACAGATGAACCTTCCAATTACAGATGAGAGTTTGTGAACTAGTGCTGGGATACGATGCCTCATCTTCTCTAGACTTCGGTCCTTGGGTTCCTGATGATCTAGGGCAGGTCTTTTTGCAGGGCACCAAGGGAAGTTGGTTTGCAGCAAGCCAAGTCATGAAGACTCAGCCATTCATGAGCTGCTCCCTGAACCCTCAGTAATGATTGAACCCAGGGGTGCTCTACCTCTGAAACACATTCCCCATCCTTTTTATTTTTTACTTGGAGACAGGGTCTTGCTAAGTTGTCTAGGCCAATTTTGAACTTGGAACCCTCCTGCCTCAGCCCTCTGAGTCACTGGGATTACAGGCATGGACCATGGGGCCTATCTTAGCTGCTTTTTAAAAAACAGCCTGTAATCCTTCCCCTGGCTTCTGGATGGCCTTTGTGGGGCTCTTGGTCCAACTTCTACCAGGAATCAGATGTACCTGTCCTCTTCCCCAACCACTTTTTATCAAGAAAGTTCTGGCATTTACTAACAACCTTCACTTAAGTCATCCATTACACTTGTGATGTGAATCATGAAGGAAGCCTTTCTGGTGACCAGAACTGAAACGGTTTAAGCAACATGGGATGGGGGTGGGGTGGAAAATGAAATGGCAACATTTTAAGCAACCAAAGATTGGAAACAATCTGTCATTCCATTTCAGAGTAAGATGTTCACCTAGTGCCAAAACACTTCCTCCATCACCCGGAATTCCCTTAATGGAAAACAAGAACTTTCTGTTAGGCAACATAGGTTTCGAAAATTCAAATACTGGTCTGGGGATGTGGCTCAGTGGTAGAGGCCCTGGGCTCATCCCCAGCACCAACTACACACACACACACACACACAGATCAAACATTTACTTACTTTTATTACAGAGTATTTTCAATGTACCACTTCACTGACTCTTCATAACCACTCTGGGAGATAAATATTCCCTCTTACTGATAAGGAAACTGAGGCTTAGAGCAATTCATAATGTCCTCAGGACCACACAGCTAGCTAAAGGCTCTTCCTCCTATTTCCCATCCCCCTTCCCCCTTGAAGTCCCCTTTCTCTATTCCATTTTTCTCCTTTCTATTTTAATGAGATCACCTGTTTTTTAATTCCTTATTTCTCTCTAGATTCCACATATCAGAGAGAACATTCAACCCTTGACTTTGTGAGTTTTAGCTTATTTCACTCAACATGATGTTCTATAGTACCGTCCATTTACTGACAAATGTCATAATTTCATTCTTCTTTATGGCTGAGTAGAACTCCTTTGTGTATATGGACTACATTTTTCTTTATCCAGTCCTCTATTGAGGGACACCTAGACTGGTTCCATAATTTGGCTATTGTGAATTGTGCTGCTATAAGCATTGATGTGGCTATATCCTTACAGCAAGCTGATTTTAGTTCTTTTGGAGTGGGATAGCTGGGTCATGTGGTGGGTTCATTCCCAGTCTTTTGAGGAATCTTGATAGTGCCTTCCAGAGTGGGTGTACCAATTTGAGCAGGATTTTTTTTTTAAATAAAAGCTTTCTTGAGATATAAATTCACATATCACAAAATTCACAATTGTAAAGGTGGTAAGCTTGTAATTCACTAGTTTTTGGTATATTCACAAAGTCATACAACTGTTGCCACTAATTCCAGAAGTGTCATCATTTCAAAGAAAACCCATACTGCTTTTTAAAAAACTTTTTAAAAGTCTTAAAGACTTTTTAAAAGTCTTTCCTTGTTCCCTGCTCACCACAGCCCATGACAACCACTAATCTACTTTCTGTGTCTATGAATTTGCCTGTTCTCCACATCTCATATAAGTGGAATCATATAATACATGACCTTTTGAGACTGGCTTCTTTCACTTAGCATAATAATTTCAAAGTTTGTCCATATTCTACTATGTAATGGCACTTCATTCCCTTTTATGGCTCAATAATATTCTGTTGTGTGGCTATATCACCTTTGGGATCTCTATCAATAATAGACATATGAGTACTTTCCATTTTCAGGCTATTATGAATTATGTTTCTATAAACATAGGTGTACAAATATTTCTGCATGTCTCTGCCTTCAGTTATTTGGGCTATGTACCCAGATGGTGGGAATGTGGGTTCTTATAATAATTCTATCTTTAATATTTTAAGAAACCATCATACCGCCTTCCACAGCAGCTGCTTTATTTTACATCCCCACCAGCAATGCCCAAAGGTTCCAATTTCTCCACATCCTTAACAATGTTTTTTTTTTTTCACTTTCTTGCTGTTATTTTGTTTCACAATTTTTAAATTTTGGTGAAATTCAGTTTATCTATTTTCTTTTTTTGCCTGTGTTTCTGATGCCATCTCCAAGAAAGCATTGCCTTATCCAAAGTTAGTGTCTACCTGCATACTTTCTTCTGAGAATTTTATAGTGTTAGTACTTATATTTAGGCATCTGGTCCATTTTAAGTTAATTTCTGTATATGGTGTGAGGTAGGGACCCAACTTCATTATTTTGCACGTGAATATCCATTTAACCCAGCAACACTGGTCAAAAGACTATTCCTCAGTGAATTGTCTTGGCACTTTCATCAAAATCAATTGGCCATAAACATAAGAGTTGATTTCTGGACTCTCACTGTGTGTGATTTATCTCTGTGTCTGTTAGGCAGGACTTTAATCCAAACTTATCTCTGCACATTACACCTATTTTTCCTTCTGCCCCATGAGAGGGTTCAGTCAGAATTTGTCCTGAATCATCCCAGAGGAAGTGTTTTTCCAGAACAATGCCACAGGCTCAATGGTCTCTGAAAATACTGGACAGCTGCATTGCAAGGGAGTTGGAGGCCAAGGTCTTCATCTCAGCCAATAGCCACCAGTCTTCTAGACCTCTGCTACAGCCCTTCCTGTGATCTGCCCTTCCTGTGGTCCCCTCTTTCCCTCTGCTGACTTGAAAGTGGCCTTGCTGGAAGAAGAGAATTCTGGAGTGGGAAAGGTATATACTTCCCTACACACATAGCCAGCCTAAATCCCAAGACCAGGGGTGAGCAGGACCCTTTCCTATCAGGAACTCTGAAGGGTCTGAGGTCTGATTTTCCCCTACACATAAGCTGATAAGTTAGCTTGTTAGTGTTTCATGGATGCTTGCAGAAGACATGAGACTCCTAAGTCAGAGATAAAAGACTATTACTCCTGGCCCAGACAACAGCGTGGGCATCAGCACATTTGTATTAGCTCCCTTTACCCTGAAGTCCCAGGTGACGATGTGAAGGATCCACGTGGATGCTGTACATGTAGATGGGTTGGCTTGTGGTGGAGGAACATCCCATCCATGTCCCAGCACTTTTTGAGCTAGCAGCAAACACTGTAGCACACAGTCAGTGCCCCTTACCACCTCACTGTTGGGAGTGAGCAGCGACATGGTGGTCATGCCATGGATCCTTAGTCATCAGTTTGACCAACTATAGGGAACTCTCAGTGTCAGGAGAGGGATGGGCCAGGTGGTCTGGCACACTGAGCAAGTATGTGCAGGGGTGATCAGGGTCAAGACGTTTGCCTGCTTCACTTATCACAAAATTCAGGGTGTGCCTACAAATGGGATCTTCAGAGAAGAGACGTGGCTTGCTCAGGGCCACACAGGAAAAGCCACGTCTGGAACCCAGGCTTCCCACCTCCGGGCCGGGTGCTTTTCCCACCACTCTCTGTCCTTGGAGGTATCTTAGGACACCTGGAATGTTGGCAGCAGACAGGATTCACCAAGAAGAAGTGGGGCAGGCAGCGGTGGAGGAGCCCGAGTCCACAGCTCTGTTCTCTGTCAACCTCTTAGCGTAGGTTGCGTGGCAGGAGGGACCAAGAGTGTCGTATTTGGTGGCAGAAATGAGACTTTGGAGGCTGATGATTTAATCACCGTAGCTGCAGTGGGTCTGTGAGTGGACTATGGTTTGTCTGGTTGAAGAACATACAGGAAGGGGTGGGTGAGGGGAAGGTGGGTCTGTGAAGTTTCTTGCTGAAGAAAAACTTCAGGGTCCAGGCCCCGCCCTCTTGTTCCCGGGCTGCTTTGCCACTTCTCACAAGCCCAGCCCCTTCCTCCAGACACTAGGTCCCTGCTTCTTCGGAGAAGCCTTCCCAAGCCTCCGCAGGGAAGTCAGGGCCCCTCCCTGCGTGCTCCCCTGCCACCCACCGCCCCTGACTGTAACTCCCCGAGGTCCAGAACTCGCTCTCTGGGTAAATGGCCTTTGCCATCCCTCCTTGTTGGGTCAAGATGGTGTCACTTCTTTCATCCAGCCTCTCACCCGTGGGCTTCTCAGGCACACTTGCTCCTGGCCAGCTCAGAGTCTGTGCTGCTGTTGGCCTGGAAGCAGGGGGCAGTGGCGTTAGGCTGGAGCCTTGCAGGCCGGGAGGGGTTCAGAAAGGCTGGGGGAGCTACACTGGAAACACGAGCGGGTCCGGGGTCTCCTGCACGGCCGGCCATGGTCAGGGTCCTCGCTGAATGCTCTTCTGTCTCTCCCCTGCCCAGCTCTTCCCCGCCCCGCTGCAGATCCTCTCCAGGAAGATCGTGCGGTCCAAGATGAACAGCACCCTGGTTGGGGTGTTCACCATCACCCTGGTGTTCCTCTCGGCTTTTGTCAACCTGGTGGGTGGCTTCACGTCCTCCCAGTGCCTCCCCAGCCCCGTGGGGTCAAACCCAGTGCAGCCTGTGCCCAACAGCATGGCCTGGGAGAGCTTTCACCCAGAAACCCCTATTCGTGTCTCACTCCAGGTCTGGGATCAGATTTGGCTCTTAAATTAGCCCCCATGCGGGCTTTTAGTTCCTTGCTCTCAAGGTGGAAGAGCACAGGGAACGTCCCCAAGGCAGACTTAGGGCCCCACCTCGGGAAGGGATACTGGCCACGCCCTCCTACCCAAGGAGCTGGACAGACCTGCCAGGTCCGCCCGCGGCCTCTAACTGAGAGGATGGCTCCTGCTATGTCCCCAGTCCGAGGGAGGCTGTGACTGAGATAGAGGGTGGAGGGTGCCCTTGGCCCTGGGGGCTGACCGCTCCTCACTGCCCTGTGCCCCGCCCAGTTCATGTGTAACTCCAAGGACCTGGTGGGCTGCCTGGCGGAGGAGCACAACATCAGTGTGAGCCAGGTCAACGCGTGCCATGTGCTGGAGTCAGCCTTCAACTACAGCCTGGGCGATGAGCACGGCTTCTGCGGCAGCCACTGGCCCAACTGCAACTTTCCCGAGGTACTGGGCCTGCAGGGCTGGGTACTCGGCCTACGTGGCTGGGCCGGGAGCAGATGCAGCTGCTCTTGCCCTACCCCACTCTGCTCCTGGGGAAGCCCTGGACAGTCTGAGGGAAGGTCAGGGCCCACCAGCTCACTGCTATTCTGGAGACTGCCTTCCCTCAGTGTCATCAACACCATGTGCCCAACACTGGTGAACAAGTGCAGCCTCGTCACTACAGCTGCAGCCAAACTAACTTAGCTTTTGTTCATAGCATGCTTACCATGGGCCAGGTGCTGTGTTAGGTGCTTTACATACATCCACTCAGTAAATCCTCACACCCTATGACTTAGGTACTATATTAGCTCTTTTGTAGAGATGAAGAACCCCATGGCCAGGGGGGTTAAGTTACTTGCCCAAGACTACACCGTGAGTAGGCAGTAGAGTCAAAGCTCTCATACAAGTTGTCTGATGCTAGAGTTCATGCTCCTGAGAATAAAATTTTCTGGAGCCTCTACCTGATCCCCTAGCTGGAGGGTAAGTGAACTTTGAGAGGAGCAAAGAGAGCCCAATCCCAAGCCACTACCATAAACCACTCGTTCAGAGCGTGCAACAGCGGTTTTCAGTGTATTCACAAATATGGGTGTAGCCATCCTCCTTGAGAACACTTTCACCACTCCCAAGAGAAATTTTGTACTTACAGGCATCTGGATTTAAAAAGTAACACCAGGAATCTTACTGAGAGGATGGCATGCACTGAACACCAGGACGCACGTGGGGCTCTGATGGCGTTGCTGCGCTTCTCTGCAAGCACTTTGCCCCAAGCAGCAGGGCCAGGCTTCCTGCCTGTCTGGAAGCGTTTGTTCTATGCAGTGGCCATGGCCACCTCCCAGCTCCCTGCAGGGCACTCACAGGAAACCTGTAAGGCAGTGACAGAGATCTTGCTTTCCTGCTTTCATCCAATTCCCAAAGGGCCCAGAACTGCAGCAGAGGGGCACAGGGGCTGTCACAGTGCTGGCCTCCTTCCCCAGCCCTGAAAAGGAGCTGGGCCATCTCCTTGTTGGACTGTTGAGTCAAGGAAAGCCCAGTGAGGAGCAGGGCTCAGCTGATGGCCACCCAGACAGGCTCTTCTTCCTGTCCTGGACCCGAGACCAGCTCTCCCTCCCCTCTGCGGCCACGCTGGGCAGTCAGCCAGGCCTCCCCTCCTGGGCTCCGTTCCCTCTCACGTCTGGCTGGGAGCCCAGGGAAGCAGCGTTTGTGCTTCCTGAGGAGCAGAGGCTGCATTGGCCGGTTTGCCACTAAGTGGTCAGAGAAGCTGGGAATGGGGTGGGGGACGCATTGGTGTCCCAGCTCCTCCTCATTGGAGATGGTCGGTCCCAGCCTTCAGCTGTCTCCAGCCTGCTCTGTTTCAGGCCTGTGGCCCACACCTCACCAGTGTTCCTGGGTCAGTCAGCCACTCCTCAGAGGCCCTTCGGGTTGGTGGTGGGGCTGCATTAAGCCTTGGCCTCCTGGTGCCCAGGACCCAGCTTCTGAATGGGAGTTCAGGCTGGCTGGAGAGGGCCCCTTTTTCCTCCCCCCAAGCTGGAATGCTGGGCCTAATTGTCTGGACTTGTTCTCCTACTGTCTTCTCTGCCCAGTTCTTGGCGGTGACTTGAGGCTACCCTGTCCCAGCTTATCACCAAGGGACCCTCAACAGTGCCTCATTTAGCTCCTGAAAGTCTGGGGAGGCAGAGGGCCCAGCCTGGGCTACGCCCACTGCCAGCCACCCCCATTTGGCCCCCAGCCCAAGGCAGAGGCAGTGTGGAAATAGGAAGAGTCTGGAAGCCTGACTCAGAAATAATAGTGCTAAATTTAAAAGAAAGAACAGGATAGTAGATGCTGACATGGCTAGGAGTCACATCCCGGGACCACAGGAGGAGGGGGCTGCTGAGATCAGCTGGTTTGCCCCTCGGTTGTTTAAGAAGGAAATCAGCTCAAAGACAAGGAGGGACTTCAGCAGGATAAATAGTACAGGGCGCCATGCCTCCTCCCAAGTCACTAGGGCCAATATATTTTAGACCACAAAATTTTTCAGATTTAAAAAGGCTGCCTCATGTGACCAGGAGCCTGGGGTAAACCCTGATGGTGAAACACAGCCATACTTCAGCGGCCAAGTGTGCCAACAGTCACAGGAAGCTGGATGCCGATGGTGATTGGCACCGCACCAGTTAGGTTGGGTTTGGCCGGCAAATCAGGCAATTCAGGTGTTGCCCTCCGGGTTGTGAGACACTTCCCTTTTTCCTGCTGTGGATTTCAGAGCTGCAGGGAACCTGTGCTCCTCACAGTTATCGAAGGTCCCAGACATAGCCCCAAGAGGCTTCCTCTCACCAGGCACAGGGAGCCCTAGATGGGGAAACCGAGGCTTAGAGGGGTTGATTACATGGTCCAAGGTGCACAGCCAGTCTGTGGTGGATCAGGGATGAGCCCAGGCGAGCCTGAGCCTGGAGCCGGGCGCTAACACTTTACTCGGCCCTGGGCGGGTGGGCAGAAGCCTTCCCAAACGTTGCTCAGGCTGGGCGGGACGGGGCGGGGCCTGGGCGGGGCCGCGAGCTGATGATGCCCGCCCTCTCTCGCAGTACTTCACCTACAGCGTGCTGCTCAGCCTGCTGGCCTGCTCCGTGTTCCTGCAGATCAGCTGCATCGGCAAGCTGGCGCTCATGCTGTCCATCGAGCTCATCTATGTGCTCATCGTCGAGGTGCCCGGTGTCACACTCTTTGACAATGCCGACCTGCTGGTCACCGCCAACGCCATGTATGTGGCACCTCATTCACCGCCCACCGTGTTCGGGCCCCCTCAGGGAGGCAGGAAGTGCAGAAGGCTGGGGTCTGGCACCGCAGGGACACTGCGAGGAGAGTATCTAGCTCCTGAGCACTGCTGTGTCAGGCTGTCTGGCCACAGTCCGCCTGGTCATCCAGTGACAGATGTCAGCTTTCCAAGGGAGACGACTCCATGAAGGGAAAGGCCTCTGGCTTTGGGTGGAACTGAGTTTGGACCTCAGCAGCAGATTCACATTGGGTTATTTTCCTGAAATACATTTTTTCCCCAGTAAAATGGGAATGATAGTCATAGTAGCAAAATATCTACGAAGTGCCTGGTATGTACTATGCTTTTCTTCCCATAACCACCTCTGAACACACACCAAGTAGTGTGAAAAAATGGGACGAGTCTGTGTCTCTTGAAGAAACACAGCACACTGCACTTTCTCTAAGAGGAAGGGGTCCAGCCAGACATCCATCCATCTGCTCGCCCATTTATTCATTCAGAAATGTGTATTGAGGGCCTACCGGCTGCAGACACTGAGCCAGGCAGTGGAGGTACAATTAGGATAGGACCAAGAACCCCCACAGAAGTGCCCCTTCTTGTGAAAGGAGACCCCTGAGAAAAATAAATTGTAGTGAAGAATCTAAGTCAGATTCAAGCAAGAACTTCCCTGTGGTTGTGTGGGGCTATGGGCAGATGACAGCAAGATGCTATGCCTTCAGGAACTGGGCAGGCTGCAAGTGTGGGGGAGGGAGGGAGTGCAGATCCTTTCTACCCTGGGGTCAGGACTAGAGCTGGCTCTTTTGGCTGCTTTGTTTCCTGCTCTTCCACTCCCAGCCTCTCCTCTCCTCTCCCACTGCTGAGGTTGACAGCAGAGACTGGAGATCATTGCTCTGTTGGGAGACCCTCGTTTGGCTCTAGGGCAGCTCTATTCAATAGACAAATAATGCAAGCCACAAATGTAATTTAAAATTTTCTAGTAGCTATATGAAAAAAAGCAAAAGATACAATTTAAGAGCACTTTATTTAGCCAATAAACCTAAAATATGGTCATTTTAACATATCATCAATTAAAAAGTATTAGAGAAATACTTTACCTTTCTTTCCACGCTATTCACAACCTGGTGTATATTTTCACTCACAGTACAGTTTAACTTGTGCTAGTCCCATTTCAAGGCTCAGTAGACACAGTGGCCAGCAGCTGCCACACGGGACAGTACAGGTATAGGATTCCACCCCCCAGCTCCCTCTGGATGTCAGCCCAGGGCTGGGGCAGACAGGCGGACAGGTGTGTCCAGGTGATAGGCAGGGTGGGGGAGGACAGACAGGGTAAGAGCTGGTGATTTGTGATCACAGTGACCAGATGCTGGTTGGGGCTGGCCTTTGCATAAGCCTCCCAGCTGGAATGCCCCTGGGTGCTGGGGTAGGGGACAAAGGAGCAGCAGAGCAGGACTGGGGGACAGAGATTGGCACTGGGCAGAAGAGCACGGCGTGGGGGAAGGCAGCAGGGTGGGCCATAGGAGGATGGGACTGGAGGCTGCCTTACACCAAAAAAAGAGATCTGAACTGTCTCCCCCGACTTCCCTTCGCAGAGACTTGAGCAACAACGGGACCTCCCAGTGGTGAGTTAACGCCCCACTTTGACAGGCCCTCCCTGCCCTTGGCACAGAGCAGCAGAGAAGGCCACTGAGACCCAGGTGGGAGGGGCCTTGGCAACAAGGCTGGTGGTGGAGGAGGCTGGAGTGAGCAGGGAGGCCCCTGCGGGGAGCAAGCAGCCCAGGTGGGATAGACACCCTTCTTTACTTACCATTCTGGTGACCAATAGCCTCAGTGGCCAGGGTTATCAGGGCCTCAGGCCTCATTTTAAAGCATCTAGCCTCAGGCTCTTCCCCAGGAGCAGGAACTGGGCCTGCTTTCCTCTATGCAGAGCCAAGGCCCCGGGCTGCTGGAGGGAGGCTCTGGGCAGTATTCGGCCTCTGGCTCTGCACTGGTGCAAGGAGCAGTGTTTGGAATGGCAGCTTTTGTTTGGTATATTTGTCAATGTTAACAGAAATATAATTAGAAACAGTAGCCACCAGTTTGCCTAATCCCAGTGTGTCAGGTACTGCACTGAGACCTCCTGTACAGAATCTTCAGTCCTTCCCACAGTCCTGCAGTGTGGATATTCTTTTCCCACGTTACAGATGAGGAAACTTAAGAGTCTACCTAAGGTACCCCAGCGACAGGGTCAGCAGGTGCTGCCTGGCTCCCTTGTTCCTGTGCACACAGTCCTGCCTTGTCCTCTGAGAAAGACCTGGCATCCACACTGCCTTGTGAAAGGGCTGAGTTCATCTCCTGAGGTGACCAGGGGGCACCTGAGTGATGGGGGCATAAGGTGCCAGGAGAGGAGTTACAGCTGCCTGAGCTGCAGGAAGGCTTCCCAGAGGAGGTTGACTCAGGCAGAGTTTGAGTGGCAGCTATACTGGAAGAAGAAAAAGGCCTGGGGGCGGGGGTCTTGGGAGCCTGTGTGAGTGCCAGGGTGGCCTCAGGCCTGTTTACCTCACTCTTGCAGCCCTGAGCATGCGACCAAGGTGGCCCTGAAGGTGGTGACGCCCATCATTATTTCAGTCTTCGTGCTGGCCCTGTACCTGCACGCCCAGCAGGTGGAGTCCACTGCCCGCCTTGACTTCCTCTGGAAACTGCAGGTGAATGGCCCTGGGGCTACAGCTGGGTGGGGAGGCAGCTGGACCTCACGGCACTCACTGGGCTGGCCTGGACCTTCATCCGACACTGACAAGGTGTACTCTTGGGTCTCACCCCAAATGACCACTGCCCCACATCCAAGGATCTGCTGCTTGCTTTCCAGGGTTGAGAGGCAAAGTCCTGGAGCATATTCTAGATGAACCCACCCCAATAATACAGGGACTCTGAGCCCAGGAGGTGCGCTTGGAGTCAGCACACACTGCCGGAGCAGTTCCTGTGCATATCTGCAGCAGGGACACTGGGGGTGGGGCAGTCAGCTTGTAGGGGGAGCAGCAAGGTGTCCAGGCATGTGAGGAGGAGGAGCAGAAGGTGAGGAGGGTGGGAGCTGGCAGGATCCTGGGCTGGTGGGGGCTGCCACCAGAGGCTTCTGTGCAGGCTTGATATGACCACAGCTGGGCATGAAGGCTTCTCCAGAGGAGGAAGAGCCAAAGGAATCAATAGGAAGCCCAGCTGGACTCAGGGGCAGGGTGGTGGGGTGGCCAGGGCCATGGCTCTGACCTGTGTTGGTTGCATTGAAAGCAGAAATGCAACCGGTGCTTGACTCTCCAGGCTGTGTCCCTGCGCCCTGAGGACAGTGTCCACCTGCAGGATGGTATGCCAACGGGCCGGGTGAAGGTGGTGCTCTTGGTAGCCACAGTCTTAAGGCCCTCGGTTCCCTGATGAGCCACCCAAGAGTCTCCAGGAGAGGGCGTTCTAGGGCACTCACAAAACAATGCCAGCTTCTTTGTGGGCCCTTTGAATCCAACCCCTGGCAAGGTCTGACCCATCTCCAGACCACATCAGTTCACCCAGGGCTTGCTTAGAACTCCTCCACCCACACCGCTCACTGTCATGGAAGTTGAAGTCTTTGGCTGGGGGCAGGAGGCTTTTGGTTGGGTGTCAAGTGCCGATGAGGCATGTTGTTGTCCCTTCTATTGGGTATGTTGCATGCAGCATAGTTTTATCTCCAAGGTATGCGGTGAGGAGCCCTGACGCTGGGGCACCCATGAATATTGCCACAAGTGTCCCAAGTGGAATGTCCCTCCTGAAGCTCTGTGTGTCTGCCCTTCTCAGACCTCTCTCCCTTCTCCCACACCCCTCCTCTTTGGGGAAGTCTGTGGGTGGGTGGTTGGGGGGCCTCCAGCACTCTCCTGAGGGCTGATCAGGCTCAGTGGGGCCTAAAGCCAATGCTCCTCTTCTCTGCTCACATGTACCGCCCCCATGAAACCCCACCCAAGATGGTTGCTCCTGTGCCTCACAGTTGTTTAACAGAGACCTTGGGAAGAGTGATCCTGCCCCCTGGCCCTGCTGGGTCCTCAGTCCCTTTAGCCCTACCTTGGAGTGTCTCTGTCCAACTCCTGAGTATGGGGTTCAACCAGGCTGCACCCACACCTGGTTCTCCCTTGTGCCCAACCGCAGCTGCTGTCTCAGCCCTCCCAGCACATGGAAGCCTGGCAACTGGGAGGCCAGGCACTGCCTGCCCAGGGCCTGCCAGCATTCAGCCCAGTTCTGACCCACCAGACTGGAGCAGCTGAAAGGGCTATGCAGGGGACAGGAGGAACACTCCCCTCCATCCCCTTGGTCTGAGGCTGCACCAGAACCTGACATTCCCCATGCCCCGAGGCCCCGCTCCAAAGCCCCAAGGGCGCTTGTGTTAGCCTGGCCCCAGAATCCTCTGACTTTCCCTCCCATACCTTTCCTCCCATCCTTCATCCTCAGGCCCCGAGCTCATCTCCATCTTTTTATTGGTAAGTTTTTAAAAAAATTAAACCTGCAGAAGTTTTAGAACAACATAAAGAACTTCAATAGTCTCTTCACTGTTTTTGTTTTACTGCCCCATCCGCCCCCTGTATGTATGTATATTTTTTCTTTTTCTTCCTGACATGATATGTCCATCACCCTTGGATCCTTCCAAGGTCTTCCTTCCAAGAATGAGGATACTGCCTCCATCCCTTATCCCTCAGCTTCCCCTTCAGGGAGTCAGCAGTGGAAACAGGCCCAGTTCACCTCGTGCAGCTGTCCTGATTCTGGCCTAGAATCCTCTCCAGGAGTACTCTGCATTTAGTTGTCTCTTCCTTCTCTCCATGTTTCTCAGTCCTTGCCATTTTAGAGATCTTGTACTCTGTGTCCTTCAGACCCACACCTTCCTGAAGGAGACCCAGGGCAGTGGTGCTGGGTGCATCTGGGGCATCACACAGGGGACTCCCCATGCTGATCTGTCCCACCACTGATGGTGCTGACCCTGACCGCAGCTCTAGTTGCTGCCAGCCACATTTCTCCACTGTCAAGCCCCCTTTCCTTCCTTCCTTCCTTCCTTCCTTCCTTCCTTCCTTCCTTCCTTCCTTCCTTCCTAACCTTCCAAGCTCCCTTTCTCTCCTTCATGTTTTCTTGTTATTTTGTGGAAGAATACTCTGGCTATTACAACAATCTTGTGATCCTCAGCAAAGCTCCATCCAGCAGCTTTTGCATCCATTGATGACTCCTGCCTCTCTCAGCCTCACCGTGGAGGTGCCGCCGGTGATGCTGAGGTTGGGTGTCAAGTGCTGATGGGGCATGTGGTTGTCCCTTCTGTTGGGTATGTTGCATGCAGTGTAGCTTTTATCTCCAAGGTATGTGGTCCTTAGGGAGATCCCTCCATTCACTGGCCCATTCATTCACTTATTTATGTCAGTGCAGACACACAGACACCTGTTTAGTCCAGTGGGTTAAAATCTGCCACTTGGTTTATTCTAATGCTCATATCGCCCTAGGTTTGGCTAGTGTGCATTTCGTCAAGCTGACTTCCTTGTCATTTGAACTGCCACTAGCACTCTTTGGGCATCTCCTGACTTCTTGGCACAATGAGATGTCTCAAGCTTACCTGACATTTTTCCTGTTCCAGCCCAGGAATCAGCAATTTCTTCAAAGAGCCCTTGCTCTTAGTGGAGAGTGGTATTTAGAAACCAAGAACTAAGTGCTTGGTGGGCTTACTACTTCCGGATCTGTGTCAGTTTTCTGTTGCTGTGACAAAATCTCCCAGAAAATCAACTTAAAGGAGGAAACATTTATTTTGGCTCATGGTTGCAGAGATTTTAGTCCATGGTTCTTGGCCCCATCGCTTTGGGCCTGTGGCGAGGCAGAACCTCATAGCTGGGAACACGTGGTAGAGCAAGTTCACCTCATGGCAACCAGGAAGCAGAGAAAGAGGAGAAGGGCCCAGGGACAAGACACCACTGTGAAGGTTTCCTTCCATTAGGCCCTGCCTCCCAAACTTTCCACCATCTCCCAGAAGCACCACCAGCTGGGGACCAAGCCTTCAACACATGATCCTTTGGTGGGGATTCCAGATCCAAACTATAACAGGTTCATCTCCAGGGCCAAAGCTGGGAAACACATGTAGTTGATGTAAACACGCAGAAATGCAGGTTGCACGCATACGTACCACATCAGCATCTGTCTGTGTACATAGATTTATAAAAACCATTACTCACACCAGCTCTTCCATTCGAGACCTGTGCCTCAGGCTTCTTTGTAGCTTGCCCTATGCCAGAGAGAAACCCGCCCAAATCACTCTCCTAAAGTGATCTATTCACCCAGTGGCCCTGGCCTCCCAACCCCACAGCCTCTTGCTGATCCTCCCCCCTCTCTTCTTGGCCCTTTTGCCTCTTTGTACACTGGGGCCCCTCCCTCTGTCACTTTGCTTTCTCAGGCCCTGACGACCCTGTGCCAGGAGGGAAGCCACTGACTCAGCCTGTAGCAAGCCTGTGTCAGCCCTGTCCACAGAAGCTCCCCAACTGGCAGGTCCCTCCAGCTCCCATTCTTTTCCTGGGCATTTTGCAACTTGGAGGACAACATACAGCAGTAAACAGAAACCTGACAGCAGGCCTTAGGAAGGGGGGTAATTGTCACCATATGCTCCCCAGGCTCGCCCAGCAGCCCCTTTACTGTTCCACCTGTGGTGTGTGCTGATAGAGGAGGGGCCGCCCAGGAACATGCCCTCTCACACAGCGCCCCCTCGTGGCCTAACCATTGTCTTGATTCCCCACCCTTACCTGCTCCTCCAGTATGGGTCTCCTAGGACTATCAAGAGGCTGTGGAACTCCACTCCAAGCAGGTTGGGCAGCTGCCCAACCTGCTTGGAGTGGAGTTCCCCAGATGAGGCAGGAGTGCCTGGCCCACCTGAGGGATTGGCCTCTTTCCTGCTCTACAGACCCTGCTCTACAGCCTCCACTCTATGCTGATGCTTTGGGCAGATGCTCTCTCAGGGAGGCCCATGTCCTGTCTCTGCTGCCCGTGGGTGGATAGAAGGAACTGGAGTGCTCAGGGCCCCAGGGACAGTAGGTTGAGGCAGGACAGTGAGTGCCCTGTGCATTCGCAGAAGCAGATGGACGACTGCCTGGGGTCCTATATGATTAGCCCACAAGGGGAGGTAAAGGGACTCCCACCCTCTCAGGCAACCTGCTGCAGAGTGGGAACAGGTGGCCTTTGTTCTTGAAGAAGAGCCTGGGCTGAGAGCCCCACCTCACAGGAGCATAGGTCACCTGGCTGGAATTCTGGACAGGAAGATGGTACCCAACAGCTATACTCACCCGGCATCTAAAGGTAGTGGGTGGAGGCTGGGGCCCTTTAGGGTCCAGGAGCTTCCTCAGGCATGACCCTGGTTTTTGAAGCTGCATTGCCAGTGTCTCCAGGAGTCCACCAGGCTGTGGACAGTATAACCAGGACATCTTCATACCTTGGTAGCGAGCCTTGGTCTCAGGTCTTCTGTCCTTGGGCTCTCCCCACTGGACCCAGGTCTATAGACGTGGGATGGTGTGCCAGCTCCTAGCCCACGGGCAGCCGCTGCACAGGGAATACCGGAGAAAAGCAGCCCTGGCCTGTGGGAAATCTAGTTGCTGCTGAGTAAAAAGACATCTGCTAATGACTTCCCAGTTGGTGGGGGATATATGTCTGCTATCAAGGGTGAGGAAGCCAGGTGACTCCACCCTGTAATCCCACATCCTGTGACCACTCTGTCAGAGGGTCCTGGCCACACCTCGGTGTATAACTGCTTCTCTGCTTCAGTTCCTTGTCGCTGCTACTGGCCTCTTGACCCAAGGACTCTGCACTATCCCTTTACCTGGAGGGTGAGTGACCACAAACTCCAACTGTACAGATCCACGACCAAAACTGGGGGGAAACCAAAGTTAAAGGGGATGTTTCCTTCCTGCCCTGGCTGACACCTGGTGGCACCTGTCCCTCCTGGCTGCATCTGGAACTGGAGGCTGTTCTCATAGGAATGAGATGGGCAGGACTCTGGGCCATTTCCCCCCCGTGACCAGTGGGTTGAAGTCACCCTTGCAAGATGCTTTTCTGAGTGCATTCTTTGATTTTAAGAGGAAAAATGAAGGGTAAAGAGGCCTCAGGGAGTCAGCAGCCTATTTGGGGTGCGGTTTTTGGACTCTCCCTTTCCCCTGGAGTCTAGTGCCAGGCTTGGGCAGACAGGAGACTTTCAGCTCCTCCTCTGGGACCTGCATCTGCTCTGCGCTTCCCTCCTCTGGGACCAACTCCCTGATGTGCGTCACTTTCCAAGAAGTAGACCATTTCTTCTGGTGGCTGACATAATGCTCTTTAGAGAACACTTGGAAGCAGAGAGACCGCAGAAACGGCCGGCACCTGGTGTTGGTGTTGGTGCGATTCCTGTCTCATTCTAAGTAGGGCTGTAGCCCCCCACCACCCCCTGACCTAGTCCTCTGTCCCCAGGCCACAGAGGAGAAGGAGGAGATGGAGGAGCTGCAGGCCTACAACCGGCGGCTGCTGCACAACATCCTGCCCAAGGACGTGGCCGCCCACTTCCTGGCCCGGGAGCGCCGCAATGACGAGCTCTACTACCAGTCCTGCGAGTGCGTGGCCGTCATGTTCGCCTCCATCGCCAACTTCTCGGAGTTCTACGTGGAGCTGGAGGCCAACAACGAGGGCGTCGAGTGCCTGCGGCTGCTCAACGAGATCATTGCCGACTTTGACGAGGTGCTTCTGGGAGTCCTCTGAGTCCCCAGGGCTCTCTCCTCCATGTGGGTGTGAGCGGTGTGACAGGAGCCCTGATGGCAAGAGCCTGAAGGTGTCCCAGGGCTGTTCTGTCTCAGGCACCTTGTCACAGGTTCCAGATGAGAAAACAGAGGCCCACAGACCTTGTGTGTCTTGCCTAAGGTCAAGGCCTCTAAGGGCCAGGGCTGGGGTTTTGGCCCAGGCTATATGAACTGGAACCTTCAGGGTCCCCGTGCCTAGGACAGCCAGAGCTTTGAGAGAATCTGAGGAAGGAGGAGCCACTGGGTGAAGGAAGAGGGCAGGGAAAAGACGCAAGGCCCAGGGCAGGGGAGGTGGCAGCCAGACGTTGCTTCTTCATTTCTCATTTCTCGAGCTTGGTGAGCATCCGCCAAGGGTAGCTGAGGCAGCCTCGATCCTGTCGGGAGTCTGGGAGGCACAGTGCAGCAGGGATGCCCGGGCTGGACACAGGGCACAGGAAGAGCTGGGTCCTGGCAGTGTTGGAAGAAGCCCACAAGAGTCCTGGGGCAGCGGGCTAGATGAAGGGCTTCGGGGAGGCCTCCAGCAGAAGGACAGGGGAAAAGGATGTCTTGCTAGTCAGAGATGAGCAGGGTTCCCTAAGTGAGGGGGTGAGGACCTATGAAGGGGCTCCAGCCGTCCAGCCCGTTGGGGGCATGAGACCCAGTGGCAACCAGTGCCCTTGTCCTCAGGAGCTCTTGGTGTGGGGTTGGGTGAGTAGGTCACAGTCACTGGACAGCAGTTGAGAACAGAGGAGGCCTGTTCTGGAGGACGGGGAGGCCTCACATTGAGCCTTTTCCCTTACCGAAGAGGGGACCCTGAGAGGCCAAGCTGCTATACTCCCATGGTCCTGCTCTGCCCCTCCCTATAGAGCTCAGTGCCCTGGACTTGACCCAAGGTTGGTTTCCTTCTGTGCAGATTATCAGCGAGGACCGTTTCAGGCAGCTAGAAAAGATCAAGACCATCGGCAGCACCTACATGGCCGCCTCCGGCCTCAACGACTCCACCTACGACAAGGTGGGCAAGACGCACATCAAAGCCCTGGCCGACTTCGCCATGAAGCTGATGGACCAAATGAAGTACATCAATGAGCACTCCTTCAACAACTTCCAGATGAAGATTGGTGAGCAAGGAGGGCTTGCAGGGACCCTCTCCTCAAATCCCACGTTTATTACAATCCAGTGGTAGAAGGTGACAGGCAGCCAATTGGGGTGGCCAGGGGTGGGGAGCTGACCACTCAGCCTGGCAGTGCTCACATGTTGGCCTGCGTGTGATGAGGCACTTTACCCAAGCATTGGGAAGGCACGATTGGACCCAGGTTGTGCCTGCCCAAAGGCTTTTGGGGAATGCTCTGTTCTGGGGGCTCCAGGGCCTGGGAGTAGCTTTGGGCAGATGGCAGGGCCATTTATTTCCAGAAAAACGGATGTAATCAACAGTAGTTTTATTAAAAAGTATTTCAAATTCATTGAGTAAAAATGAAAACTAGTAAAATCAAATACTTGATACATTTTAAATAAAAATGTATGAACATAAGATATAAGTTATTACACTTGCAAATTTATGAAAATACTGAACATATTTTGTGCAAAATTGTTAGCAAAATAAAATGAGTAAAGTGAAGTTTATAGGCAGTGGTGCATGCCTGTAATCCCAGTGACTCGGGAGGCTGAGGTAGGAGGATTGAAAGTTTGAGACTAGCCTCAGCAACTTAGGCCCTATCTCAAAATAAAAAATAAAAAGAGTTGGGGATATGGCTTAGTGGTAAAGTTCCTCTGGGTTCAATTCCCCAGCACCAAAAAACAAACGACAGAAAAATATGAAAAAAAAATCATGTAATATTGACAATGAACCAATTCTATTTCAACATTTTAAAAAACAGAAGTCTTAAAAAAATTAAAAAAAAAAAAAACTGGGTCAGTAGGTTATTGGACAGAATATCTTTATTTTTTTATTTTTATGTGGTGCTGAGGATTGAACCCAGGGCCTCGCACGTGCTAGGTGAGCACTCTACCACTGAACAACCCCAGCCCCCTCAGTAGGTTATTGTTGAGTTTCAGGCAGTGAGGCAATCTTTTCTAGGTCAAGGTGTCAAAACTTTTCAACTCCACTCAACTGGGGGTCGTGGTGAGGGTGTGTAATGATCAGCCCTGTGTCTTACCTGCACTTGTCCTTGGCTGATGGCTGAGAGAGCTTCACAGACACCTGGATGGTATACAGAGGCAGTAGTAGGGACTCTGCTAAGGATGGTCAGGGGTTCAGAGAAGAGAAGCCCTGGGTCAGCTTCAAAATAGGACCATATTCTACATATTTGTTCAAAAAATCTTTGAACCCAAAACAGGATTTTTAAAAATGTTTAATTTTGTTTTTATTACCTCAACCTTTTGACAACTTTCAACTTTCAGAATTGAAAGAACAGTACAGTGAAAACCCAGCTACATCTCACATACCTACCCAGCCCCACCCCGCTCCATCCACAAAATGATCTCCAAATTACAGTTATGGATGAGTTGTTCCATAAAGCTCAAGGCATTTTTGCAGTTTGTTTGTCCTTAGAACATATTTTTATTTTATTTTTGTTGTACTGGGGATTGAGCCCAGGGCTTTGCACAAGCTGGGCAAGCACCCTACCACTGAACTATATCCCCAGCTCATTTTATCTTTTATTTTGAGACAGGTCTCACGAGGTTTCCCAAGTTGGCCTTGAATTTGCCATTCTTCTGCCTCAGGCTCTGGGTTAGGAGGGGTTACAGGTGTACAACTCACATCCAGCTCTGGGAGTATATCTTACCAAGGATGTACAGTCTGACAGAGTGCAAGTTATTTTTGCAATAGAAACTTTGTCAAGTGTTGTCCTCTTCCTCCTCTTGAGATCTGTGGAGGCAGGAAATGCTTTCTGAAAGAGCAGACCTCAGTTCTATTCAGAGTTTTCGTGCATTATCAAATCCCTGGGAATGTCTCACACCATAAATGATTCAGAGTTCAAATTTTTAAAAAAGTAAAAGTAATTCACCAAAGAAAATACTGGCATTTCAATTCTAAAAATTAGCACATTAAACTGAAACGTTAGTTTACCGAAAACCAATATTATGATCATGAGTGTCCTCAGGAGACCTTTGTTCTGGCCTGAGTGTCAGGAATTGTGCTGTTCTTGAGGGAGCTGCTTATTGTGTCTTGTGGGCACAGGGCTTTGTGACTTGGCCAGGTTTCCATTTTTCTTTGGCTGCTAGAAAGGCCAGACAGAGCCAGCTGGGGATCTTCTTTAACTAACGTGAGGCCTGTGTTTGTTTTTGTATTAATGTTATTCTTGGTTTCATGTAATGTTACTGTTCTCATTTGCCTCTCACCACATCTTATCCACCTACAGTTTTGTATTTTTCTCCTGGTGTGTATTTTTGTAAACTGGAGATTGAGTGATAGCATCAACCAAGCGATAGCTAAGGAGCCTTGAGGGGTAGATCCATTCATACGACTCAGGGGCACCTTAGTTAGCGGGCGTGGCCTTTGGAGCTCTGTGTGACCAATGAGGTGGACAGTTGAACCTGGTAACAGAAGGCAAGGCAGAAAGCTTCATGTGGCCATGATAGGACATGGAGAGAGAGGAGACCCAGGCAGGGTTAGGAGCCAGGTCTTAAGAATGAGAACAGAAGGAAACAGAAATAGGAGTGAGAAAGAGGGAAGGGGCACATTCTGTCTGTTGAGTTTGAGTCAATGGTGAACACCTCAAAGCTACCCAGAAAGGGAAGATTAAGAAAAGGCAGTTGGAGGGGCTGGGGTTGTGGCTCAGTGGTAGAGCGCTCGCCTAGCACGTGCAAGGCTCTATAAGGTTCGATCCTCAACACCACATAAAAATAAATAAATAAAATAAAGATATTTTTTTAAAAGGCAGTTGGATTATGCAAGAGGTCACTGGAGACCCTGAAGAGGGCACTCCTGGCAGTGGACTTACAGAAACTGAGCATCACCTGGTGGTGAGGACACAGGAGCCCTGAAGTATGCCTGGGTTCCTGGGGTCTTGGATTAACACGCACTTGATAGAGCAGAGAAGTGGGAGACTGCAGGGGGAAGCTGGCATCAGGCCAGGAGGCAGAGGGAGAACCTGCAATGTGCAGAGAGAGAGAGGGACGCCAGCGAGGACTAGCAAAGCAAGTATCAGTCTTAACCTGACGAACGTGGCTGATGTCCCCTGCAGGGCTCAACATCGGCCCTGTGGTGGCTGGGGTGATTGGAGCTCGCAAGCCTCAGTATGACATCTGGGGAAATACAGTGAACGTGGCCAGCCGCATGGACAGCACTGGCGTGCCTGACCGCATCCAGGTGAGTATGAGAGCATCCACTGTCCAGGTTACCCACCAGGAGGCCTCTGTATGCTGCTAAAAGTTCTTCAGGGAAGGCTGCCCACAGCTCCCAGTCAGAATTTCTGATCCAAATCCAAGGGTGATGGGGCAGTTGGTGCTGTCGTCATGGAAACTTGGAGAACACGATTGTGTTTTGGGCCCTCAGCACCTTGGACAGATCTTCGGGTTGTGCAGAGCCCTCTGCTGGGCACAGAAGGAATCGGGTAGGCAGAAGCAGGGCAGTGGCTGTGATGACAAACTGAGTGTTCATGGGGAGCCCAGGACCTTCCCAGCCAGTCACAGAGTACACACACCAAGACACCTGCAGGGAGTAGAGTCTTGCCCGTGCGGCTCGCTCTTAGGTTTGGTTCAGGAGAACCAGGGAAGGCTGCTGGGCCCTAGGATGGCGCCGTCATCAGTTGCAGCAGCCGGTGGCCTGGCCAGAGGCCCAGGGACTTTTTCCTTTCTGTCCTTTGCGAGCTGGCACTTGTGATCCCCAGGCCTGCCGGTCTTCAGCTGCTTTCCTTTTTCTCCCCCTCAGGATTTCCATGGTTTGCTTCAATCTGAAAAAATGGCCCGAACTGTGCTCTCATCCTGTGTGGCCCTCTTGCATGGTTCCCTGCAAGGATGTGGGAAGTCAGCTTCCTGGCCTCAGTTTTCTCAAGCGATAATTATGCCATTTTTAAGACATTTTGTCCACATTGACACTACTTAAATATCCCCTCACTCGTCTGTCCTGTAGGAGAACAAGGAGACTGACCCAAACACAGTCCTGGCCAGATCCAGCTGACCTGGATGCTGACAGGCCAGGCCATGTGGCCTTCTCTCACCTCCTCTCCTGCACCAAGAAGAGAAGGGATGGCTGGGTGGGGACTGGGGCCCTGAGGGAGCTGTTTGCAGAGCTTCTAACCTACCTGGTGACAGGTGTGAGGGCCTCTGCCAGCAGCCACCACAATAACCAGCACTGCACCTTCACTGGAGCCTCACTGTGCAGACACCACAGTTAATGACAGCAGCCTCCAAGCAATGCCCCTGCCCCAGCCTCTTGCAGTCAGGCTGGGTGACTGTGTGGTGGCTGGCAGGAGCAGAAAAGGCACCTGCATCTGCATCATCCTGTGAGACACTTGGCCATCCTGCCACTTCCTGCTCCTGTCACTCTGCTTCCCTCCTCACCTAGCCCAGCAGTGTCATTGGTGAAGCCCCAGTGAGTTCTCTTTGTCCCCAAAGCTGACACAGAGATATGTACAAAGCCTGGAACCCAGTCCAGTCTCTGCCATTTATTAACTGTATAATCTCAGGCAAGTGACAGATTTGCTGGTGATGGGGATGATAATAGTATTGCTTCATATAAAGATGAAATGAGATAAGCAGTTGTTCTCAAACATCTATAGTGAAAACCAGTTTTTTAAAAACCTTTCTACTCTGTCATGGAGTGATACTTCCATGAAAGACGCTGGTCACACACCTGGCTGTTGGGTACAACAATGTCACCATTGCTCTGAAGGTTCCAAAGTATTACTCTCTGCCTCTGACTCTCTCTGGACTGCACCTAAGCTGTTAGGGGCCACAGGCCACACTTTTGAGTAGCACTGAATAGCACATGTGAGGCGCTTGTCACAGCGTCTGGCAGAGTGAGTGCCGAGAACCACAGTGGCCATCATTCTCATTCTAAGGGCTACTTCCATGGACAGGTCCCTGCCAGTCCCCAGTATCCCCTCTGTGGAAGAGCAGGGGCATCAGCAGAGTGTGGGAGTCAGGGGTGGCTCTGTCCCCACTGCAGTTCATGGCTAAGGTCATCAGTGGTCTGTCCTCTCTCCTGCTTTGCCTCCTCAGGTCACTACGGACATGTACCAGGTGCTGGCTGCCAACACATACCAGCTGGAGTGCCGCGGTGTGGTCAAGGTCAAGGGGAAAGGCGAGATGATGACCTACTTCCTCAATGGAGGGCCCCCGCTGAGTTAGCAGCTGCCAGCAGTGGTGCCAGCAGCCTGGCCTCCAGAGGAACGGAAGCGGCTTCGCTGTGTGCCGCGTGGGCAGGTGGGGAGCCTGCGCTCCAGCCACGTGGTCACGCTGGTGAGATTTCCCACTTTGACTTGGAAGCAGCCTCTGCCCTGGCTGGTGGGCGTGGCCTCCGGCCCAGGCCCTGGGTGCCAGCGTCCTGTAAGCACCAAGCTGACCAAAGATGTTTCCCTCTGCAGAAGACTCCGCCGGACTTGAGCTCAGCCTCGAGTTCTCTGACAGGTGCTGCCGCTGAAGGGTGGAGGGCGCTGCTGGAGCTTTCGCAGCCCAGCGCACAGCGGCAGGCCCGCGGAGGGCCTCAGCCTAGGTGGGTGGGTAGACGGGCTGGACGCTGCCCTGGGGGTACTCGGGGTCCCCCGGGGGTCTGTTTTCCACATGAGCCTTTAAACTTCAGACAGAGGCTGCAGCCCCTGCTTCCTGGCGGTGCTCTGAGGCAGGAGAGCTGGGTTTGTAGGAGCCGTGGCCTTCGCCGCCATCCTCTGCCCATGCGTCCACGCACACAGACTGTGCCCAGTGAGGGAAACAGGACTCATTATGAGGGGGAGGCGAGAGGACGCCAAGCAAGCAGTGGTGGCTCTGAGAAAAAGAAAATATTTATTAAATAAAACAAAACAAGTTTTCTGTGCCCTTCTTTAGACTATGCTAGTTGTATGCGTGTAGGAGACACAAGCAGACGAGGATGCCACTGGGGGGGGAGGGGGGACCCCAAGTTGTCTTTTTTGTATTTTTTATTTTGTATTATTGAAAGCCTTGGAGATCTAACAGATATACCAAATTCTATATTTTGTAAATTCTCTATATTAGAAAACAGCTGTGCACAGGGGGCGTTTGTGCTCACTTGTACTGTACCTATGTCGGCGTGTGTCCTGGTGCACATGTGCGTGTGTTCATGCCATGCAGCTGCCCTGCAGGGACCTTCCTCACCTCAGACTCGGCAGTTTTGGTTTTCCCAGGGGCAGTGTGTGTTCTTTTGGGGTACCCTACATTCAGATCAAGGAGGAAGAAGCAGACACACTTGACCCTCTCTCTTTTCTAACACAAAGGCAAAGACACAACCCACTTCCACTGAGTAAAAGCAGATGGAAATGATAAGAAGAAAACAGCCACTTCTTTCCCATCCCAGGCGGTTGGAAGCAAGGGGAACAGCTTCAGTCTGTGTGGGCAGCGTGGCCCCCACCTGTTCTTCTGCTTCTGGGGATGTCAGATGTTCGCGCCTGCAGAGGCAGCACCTAGGGACTCCTGGGAGCTTAGGGATGGGCCAGGGCTGGGAGGAAGTCTAGCCTGCCAGTCTGCTTAGCTGGCCAAGGGGCAGGTGGCTCTCCCTGGACACCATCCTTGTGACCTGGGAATGCAATGTGTAGGTTTCAGGTTTGGGGAAAGGGTGTGACCTTGCCCTCTACCTGTAAACCAGACAGAGGAATGGGTAGAGCCCAGTCTTGGAGTCTGAGGGAAAAGCAGCAGAAGTGTCATTTTGTCTAGTTTTTATTTGAGGGGTGGGAAGGGAGCAGTTCAATACATGAAGGGGACAAAACTATTTTTTATAACTTTTGAGGGAGGCATTTGAAAAATGATGTACTAGCACAGAGTTGTATTTAAGCAGCATCCTTAGGACCTGTTCCCAGATCTTTTCATTGCTTCTCAGGGCAGAATTATTCTTCCTGGACACTTGGAAGGAGACTGGACGGCAGCTAATTGCTGGCTATTGAGACCGTCCTTTATGTCTACCGCAGCACCTTCCCCTCCTACGCCCCCCCACCCCAATTTGAGCGCAGCTCTGAGAAGCAAAGCATATGGACCCCAAACTGCCAAGTCTGAGTGTGTCCCAAGCCCCTGCCACTCCACCTTTGAGTTCTGCATCACTCCTCCAGCCCCTGGCGCGGGGCTGCTCTCTCCCGCAGCGTCATTCTCAAGTCCCCTGTCCTCCATATGGCCTGCCAGTGGTGCTTCCGGCCTGAGTAAAGTGTGCGTGCTGAGTTCATCCCGTGTTCCCGCTGTTGGTCTCGGCCTTGTGGGGCCCTCCCCATCCCAGCAGTGACTGGTGACAGCGTGCAGTGCTAGCTCTTTGTTCCCTCTAAGGGGTGTGCACTCTTTTTATTCCTGCTCTTGCAAAAACGGATACGATTATGATTTCCCATGGAAATTGAAAAGTCTATTTAAATAATTTAACTATTAAACACTTTCACTGGTAACGTGTCCTGATCTGATTTGTGGCTTGGGCCAGGGTCCAGGGAAGGATGTTTTAAAACAGGTGAGCCAGATTTGTTTGTATGCCAAGAGAAGGAAAGGAGAAAACACAGGAGGAGAACACAGACCACTGAAAGGAACCCAGAAGGTGGGAGGCCTGGGCCGCAGGCCACAGGTGAACTGATTTGCCTACAGCGCTAATGATGGCTCTCTGTGCCACACTGCAATGGGCACCAGATAAATGTCATCTCACTGAATCCTCCTGGCCACCTCATTTCACTGATGAAGAAATAGAGGCAGAGAAAGGTTGCACTATTTGCTTAAGGCCCCGTGGCTGGAAATAAAGAGAGGAGTTTGAGAACAGGCCTGTCTGCTGTCAAAGCCCAGGTGGGCCCCCCTCAACAGCTCTGTCTGTTGCTTCTGTCAAATTCAGGGTTATATTTGGGTTCAGGACATAAATCCAGAAGGGTGTGGGCAAAGTTTAATGTGGGTGTAAATTAAAAAGCCAGTGACAAGGACTCCACTGTCCTCATTAGTGAATGGACACGGTACATGCTACAGAGGTAGCAATCCTAGTCAGAGCAGACCTCCTGCTCTAAAGAAAATGGATATTATTAGGGCTTCAGATATGCATGGGGAGAGATTCATTTTATAAAGGCAGGAGTTTGAGAAAACTTCAGGCTGGAGCATATCAATTTGAAAAGAAAACCAGATGACAAGGAAGTTCAAACTTCAGAGAGCAATTGACCTAAGTGGGAACTTTAGCCGTAAAGAGGCTCAGGAGGCTGAGGCAGGAGGCTAGTGAGTTCAAAGTCAGCCTCAGCAAAAGCCAGATGCTAAGCAACTCAGTGAGAACCTGTCTCTAAATAAAATACAAAACAAGGCTGGGGATGTGGCTCAGTGGTTAAGTGTCCCTAAGTTCAATTTCTGGTACCCAAAACAGACAAACAAAACTCCCACCTGCTCTGACTGGTAATCACTGTCCTGTGAAGCCCCTGAAACTGAATATGTACATAGTGCATACCAGGACACCAAAAGGAGGTGACTGGAAACCTTCATAAACCCTTCCTGTTCTCAGCTCAATTAAGCTGATCCCAGAGAATGTATGGTTCTTCCTTAAAGGTTTTCACTTTTTTTTCCCCCAAAAGCATCTCCACACCTAGAAAACTCATGAAACTTATTAGGAAAAATGCCATGAATATTGGCAAGAGTTTGAACACCTCTATGCCTACTAATAGTAAATGCCAGACATCCATCCGTCAACCTGGCTGTTAGACTGCAGTATGTAGTTAGCGACGAATGAGTGAGAAGGCAGAGTGAATCCCGGGCACTGAGGAGGCAGAAGGTGAATGTTATCAGGGAGCCATGTGACCTCAAGACTTCCAAAGTTAGAAATATCCTTATGAACTTTTCCAAAAGCAAGTCCCAGCCCAAGTGGCACAGAGTTGACAGAGGCCTAGAGCTGCAGTGTGCACATGGTCAACAGGTGTCTTTCATGACACTCCCTTCATAGACTGCTCATCAGCAGCATCTAAGCTTCCCTGATCCTAAAAGAGACGCTAAGCCTGTCACCACAGGGCATGAAGCACTGGCAGACATGCGGATGGATAGCTTAGAAGTAGTACTGAGCAGATTCTCACCGCCACTGCCAAGAGAATGACAAAGGCAGAAAAACACAACTCAGAAAACCCACAGCTTTTGACTTTGTCCAAACCAAAACAACACTGAAGAGAACAAATCATGTACATAACTCACCCTCGAAACAAAGGGAACTGGCCAGGTAGGGCCATGCTGGCCACGGTTGCTCTGCACAATGCCACCACCCCTTAGGGCAAGTACCAGCAGAGTGGGAAGGCTGGTGCTGTTTATGAACGTGAGATTATTTACTCACCATCCCCCTGTCTGGATGAACTGCACAGTGTATAACACATTTTCTCACTTCGGCCTCTCCAGGGTCTGGAAGCAGTTCAAGGAAGGGTTGGTGCATCCCCCAAGGCTGCTCAGACGCTTAGTGACAAGTGGCTTTGGCACTTGTCCCAGGGCGCTTCTGTCCAGTGTGCCCATCTGGCTGGGAACTGCTGGGCTTGGCAGGAACAGGGCGCTCATCACTCTTCAAGGTCAACAGTAGGTGCGATCCAATTAATAAAGGATGCTTTTCTTATCCTTCCAGATTTTCCAAAAGCCATCTAGGTTTTTTTCTCCTATCTTAGGAAGGAAAATATAATATTTGCTGTCCTCTTGCCTGTCTTTCCTGCCCATCTGCAGGGTCGCTGCTTCACAACACAAGAACAAAGCCAAATGAGGGCATCACCATGGCTGGCCTCCAGGGCCCTTCCCCACTGGCATTCTTGGATTCTAAATATTTGTGTAACTCTTTATCCTGTCTTCAAGTGCCAGACCACATGTATGGCACAAATGTAAACACAGCCTAATTAAGACTAAGATTTTAGAGGCAAAGGCACAGACACAAGTGAGAGAAAAGCATGATGTCAAGGGGATCTGTAGGACAATCACCTTCAAACCAAGGTCAAGCACAGCCCTGGCTTTCCCTTCTCCAGACACCAACCCAGCAGCAGCCGCCACAGTACCTGACAGCAGCATAGCCAGGAGCCTCTGACATCAGGGTCTCCAATCCAGGGGTTGGGGGGAGAAAGGTAGGGAGCAATCGAGATTCACAGAGCAAGCAGAGGGTCCAGAGAGACAAGGGAAAGGGAAAAGATGATGTAAGGGTGAGGATCAAGGGTACAGCCTCCTGTCCCCACTGGATTCCCAGCCCCACACCTCAGCCACCATGTTTCTAGTAAGCAGTCTCCCGCGGCCCCATCCCCACTCCACATGGCCATAGCCTGCTCATCCCCAGGGCCACTTTCATATTGCTGGTCCATTAGGCCCATGAATTTAAAGAATTCACACTGGAATTCATTAAGGGGTCCATCACCATTTTTTCCATTGGCCAATTTCTAATTTAGACCTGGCTAGAATAGGTTTGTCAGCATCTCTATTTTCACTCACTAGTTCTCCAGTTTTGCAGAACTCACTCCCCTACTTTGTCAGTGAGCCACAGTGACACTCCTGCCACTCGCTGCCCGCCACTACCCCTGCTCATGCAGGATGTTTTTTGGAGATGTTTTCCTTCAGATGAAAAGATTCATGTTACACTTGTATCTTTTAAAGGTGCCTTAGCTCTCCCTTCCCCAGCATCTGTACAGTTGAAGATGCAGGCTGAAGGCTGCTAGCTGCCAACTTCTACCCCTCGCCTTTCCCATCAATGCACACGGTCCTGGGAACCCTTACTGAAGGCACTAAGGCAGCTGCACCCAAGAGTGCCTGCTAAGTTGGATTAGTATGTTCAAAGCAAAGTGGACCTTCACTTAAGTGGTGGCTTCCGAAGAGCTTTATAGATGACTTATCACATCTGGGGGCATCCACAAAAACCTATAATA